GACTGGGCCTGTGCAGGAGAACTCTCAGTGGCTTTTGGCCTCTGGCCTCCTCAGCACCCCTCATTAACATGTCCATTGGTCCAAAGTGTTATTTAAAGCTATTGATGTTTCACATTGCTGTAAAATGGGGAAAGAAAAATACAATCCTGGAAACCATTTTCTTAATGTTCATGCAAGCCCCCTCCTCCTGTATATTCTGAAGATATAACCTTATATTTGGTAAGTGTTTCTTGTGCTATTTTATCATGTGATCTGTTTATAAAAATATATATTAAAAATTAAAAATACAAATGCCTGGTTTATTTCTGAACTCTTGTCATTGTTCACATTTTAAAATGTATTTGACGGGTTTCCTGCACAAGCTGCATCAACTAATAATCAAGGGTTGCCTTACATGTTGCTTAAGTGTCTGCATGGAATTCCCTCTTCTGGGCAGGAAGGATATTCAATTTTGCAGCAAATGCGCATGAAGAATAATTTTGCAGCAAATGCGCATGACAATGCATGCCTAGAACATTGTCATGTGGGACCAACTTTTCTCACATCGCCTTTAGTTCCAAACTGTGCAAAGAAGCAAACGATCATGGAAGCAACCAAAGTGCCATGAAAAATGAAGCCGCTCTGTGGCGTGTCTCCGTAGATCCCACCCTCTGTGTATGTCAGTAATGAGTTAAACGCATGGGAGAAAACATGGATAATCGTGGTTTCTTTGAGAAAACATAGAAGGATAATTGTGGTTTCATTGCTACTTCCGGAGCAACAGTAGGCAAGGATGGGAGAATTCCAGAAGGGTCCAATTGTCCAGATTGTGCAGAATGCTGGGAGGCTATATTTGCAACAACGTTATCCCACAGTTTTTAACTAAGTTATCCTATAGGGCAACACCTGCCTATTGTTTTACAGAACAAATAAGAAAACGTGTAACTTTTAAAGTTTTAATTCTGGAAAAAATATGCCCAAGTTTCAAAAACTGGAGAATCAGGACTCTATGAGTACTTGCATTTGAGGGCACCATAGAACTAGTGGCAGCCTGTACAGCATCAGATACAGTCTTACTGTTTCCCACTGCTGAACAACAACAATCTCTCTGCAAAATGAAAAGAAGCATGTCCAAGAGAATGATTTTAACCCTTGCTGTATGTTTTCTACTTGCACAGTGAGTGGTTATTGGTTTTAAGTAAAGCAGCCTTAAAACATGTGAATTCTTCCACCTGCCATATGAAACCATTTTGCTGAGAGAAACTCTATCAGATCTAGACTGCCTAGGCTACCTGTGGGGGCAAGGAAACCATGCATTCTGCCCTGAGTAGAATGAGAATGTTGCTCTTCAAGTAAAATAAAATAAAATAAAATAAAATAAAATAAAATAAAATAAAATAAAATAAAGCTTTCAGCAGGCAGGAGGGGGGATCTTGGAGGTGCTATAAAAATAGCCTACTTCAGGAAAATAACACCCCCAGCACTCTCCAGCACCATCATCATCTGTTAATGGTAACATGTTGATGTTACCTTAAGAATGTTCTGAACTGTTTTTTAACCATCTCTTTTGTTTGTTTTTACATTACTATACACCTACACACATACAGATTCTCCCTTCAGTACCTGTAGCTACTTTATTATTACTGTATGATCATTATTACAATGCAGTATTGTGTTTAAGATGTTTTAGCAAATATTGAAATGTTTCTTAAGTGATTTATATGCACAGAAAAGTAAAATATATACATATGCTCTGACAAACATTTAGCTTAGTCATGCGATTCGATTTACATACAAATTCAACTTTCTCAGGAAACTGAGGTCTACCTTTATAGATTACTACTACAAAGGAAACAAAGAGAACAAAAGAGGAAAAATGTGTAAAATGGGATGCTGAACAGCCTTCTTGCCCCTCTCCCCACATGGCCCTGCAAGCCACTATCCACCACAGCACCCCCCCCCAGAGGAGTGTGGGGATGAGGGAAGGGAGGGGGCCAGCAAGCTGTGACACCCTCTCCCCACAGATCTTAGGCCAGCTGGTGCCCCAAGGCCGCCCAACGCTGCCCTGCCGCCACTGCTGATGCTGTGTGGGGTCACTAGGGCTGTCACCCAAGAGGAACGGGGGCCACAGCCCAGAATAGTTTGGGGTCTCCTCTTCCAGACTTTTGGCCAGGATTTTTCTTCAAAACTCCCATGGGGGATGTCAGAGGGCAACCCTGGGAGTCCTTCACACAACACACAGTTTGTGGGTGCAATTTACTCCACGAGGAGTAATGATGCCCTCTGACTTGGAGAGCTTTAAAGGGCGATCGTGTGAATTCAAAGAGAAAGACCTCCCTGGTCCTGATCGGTCTGTTACCTGCATCCGGCATGAGCAAGGCCATTACCACAAGAAGCCCTACTGACCAGCAACCTGGATGCCCTTGTTGACCAAAAGGGGCACGTCTCGGTGTGCGAATGCCCAAAATACACCAGGTTTTCTTTCAAGAATTTATTCCTGAGAATGGCTGGCCACGCATCGGTCCGGATGCGGCACCTGGGCAGTCCTCAGCTGACCTGTTATACACTGATTATTAGAGGGTGACACGCAGCAGTTACCACTCCCCAGTAGCTACGGAAGTGAAAGGTCGCAATGGCGCCATCTTTCCAACTCGCACGCCAAGGAAGACGCTCCCGAGGAGGCTGCAGCGCTACCACGGGGGGGGCGGGGGGGGTTGGGGGCTGGCGTGAGCCGCCCGTTGCCCGAGCTGCTGTCGTTGGGCACGCGCCGACGAGCTCTCTGGGCTGGCGCCGGGGCCGCGGCAGCTGTTGCGTTCCGAGGATGCAGCACGCAGCTTTCCGGGAAGGAGGGTCTCCTCGGCCTGCTCGTGCGTCGGCGATCGCGTGACTTAACCGGTGGAAGTTCCGCCTACTGCTGCGAGCACCACCCTTCGAGCGGGACTGGGCCGCCCACGGGGCCGCGGACGGCCCGGGGCTGACGCGCGGCGCGGCGCGGCGCCCCCCGGGCGGCGCCACCTGGGCGGCGGGGCTCAGGCCGCTGCCGCTGCGGGTCCTTCCAGGGGGCGGGGCTTCGCACGGGGCGTCCCGGGGGCGTGGCCCCCGTCGGGGCGCGGCGGCGGAAGGGGCGGGCCTCGGCGGCGGAAGGGGCGCGGCGGGCCGGCCGAGCTGGGAGCGCCGGGCGAGGTGAGGGGCCCGCGGCTGGCTCAGCGCGGGGGCCGAGAGCCCGGGCGGCGCAGCCCGCGGGGGGGAGGGGGGTCGCGCTCGGGCCTGCGAGCCTTTGGAGGGGGGGTGGTTAAATGCTGGAAGTGCTTCTCCCTGCGAGGGAGCGCCTGAGCGCGTGCAGAGTGCCTTTCTTTCGCCGCGGGGTCGCCTCGCCTCTCCCCCCCCAACGTTTTGTCTCCGTCGTGGTTTGGTTTTACTTTATATAAGGCGAGAGGCTCACCTTCCTGTGAAGAAACGTTGCCCTGGAGCATGTGCAGAGTGCCTTTTCTTACCCCCCCCCCCAAACAGGGAAGAGGGGAGTTTTATAGGCTTCCCCCACCCATGAACCTTTGGTGATTTGTCTTTCTTTTTTCTAAGAAAGCAAAGGGGTTCTTTCCCTGTGAAGAAAAACTGGTGTGCCCTGGAGCATGTGCAGAGCGCCTTTGCTGAACTCAGCAACTCACCAAATGGGCAGGAGCAGGGTTTTATGTTTGAGCCCACAAGTATTTTGTTTCATACTAGGTATTTGTTTGTTTATAAAACGCTAAGGTGTTCTTCCTTCTCTGAAGGAATGCTGCATTGTCTTTAAGCGCGCAGAGTGCCTTTTCTTAACTTCCCCCTGCCACCGAATAGGAAGGAGGAGAGTTTCGTGTCCATGGTTCCAGATCTTTTGTTTTGTGGTGGTTTATATTTGTTTTTTAAATGTCGAGGTGTTCTGTTTTCCCTGCGAGGGGATGCCACAGTGTCCCCAAGCATATGCAGAATATCTTTTCTTATGCATTTTAATAGCCTCCAGCTGCTGAAGCTTCCCTGCACAGGTAGGGAGAGAAAGAAGGGCAAAGAATATTTCATGTTTCCTTTTGCTGCAAACTGCCCAGAGAGCTTCAGCTATTGGGCAGTATATTGATGTAGTAAATGCAATTGATAAAATAAAACAAATAAGAGAGAAGAGTCTGAGCCCTGGGAACATTATTTTCCAATATGACCTCCTTGGGACTGGCAGCATCAGCCCGATCCACCAGATCCAGTGCTTAGGTTACGGGACTTTAGTTCAGTCCTTCCCCAACTTGGTGCCCTCCAGCTGGCAAGGTGAATGGAAAATTAAGCTTATTTTTTGATAATCCTGATAAATCTTCATTCAACTAGAATAACAATCCTGACCTTCCTTGATGCTGAGTTTTTGGCGAGGGCTGATCAAGATGAGGCTGTTCATTTAGGTTATAATGCACATACATTTGTTTTCTGGGTGGGTCTAGTAGCAACTTCAGGATTTGGTGAGGAGTGTTTAATATCACCCTGCTTGATCCAGGACCCCTGTCCTGGCCTGTTTGGGGTGGTCACTGCTGTCGTTTGCTGCTTCTGTTTCTAATGCATTGTACCACGTCCTTTGATATTATCTTGTATTTAGTTTTCAACAACAATCATGTGAGTTAAGTTGGACATTTAGTGACTGGCCCAGGTTTTCCCAGTTGTAATGTATGGCTGTGAGAGTAGGAGCATAAGGAAGGCCGAGCACCAAAGAATTGAATCTTTTGAATTGTGGTGCTGGCGGAGACTCCTGTGAGTCCCTTGGACAGCAAGGCGATCAAACCAGTCAGTCCTAGAGAAGCTCAACCCTGACTGCTCTTTAGAAGGCCAGATACTGAAGATGGAACTCAAATATTTTAGCCACCTAATGAGAAGGAAGGACTCAGTGGAAGAGACCCTGATGCTGGGAACAATTGACGGCAAGAGGAGAAGGGGATGGCAGAGGAGGAGGTGGCTGGTTGGAGTCGCTGACGTGGGCGTGGGGTTGGGTGGATTCTGGGGGACGGTGGAGGACAGGATAGCCTGGCATGCAGTGGTCCACTGGGTCGCAGAGAGTTGGGCGTGACTTTTTTAAGTTGATTGATTAATAAAGTAGAGGTAATAATAAATTACATATAAATCTAATGACAAATCCTTCAATATAGGTGCCTTTTACAATTTAATACACAATAAACTCTATCACTGTTTGAAATAGGGCATCCCTGGTATTTTATGTTGATCCCTGTTGGATAAGCCATCAGAAGTGAAACAACTTCTAAAATGTCATTTATTTTCAATCCCACCTGTTAGAACTGGCCCACACATGTCACTTAAGCAGTTGAAGCTGTAGGTAATCCATTTCCAAGTTTACAGTCCCAGATTTAGTGCTCTTCACTAAGGAGTGTTTTCATAGTATCAGACCTTTTTTGTTTCCTTAGGAAGAAACACCAACGCTATGGCGGTCTCTGTTGTTGTTTCAAAGTCCAGTGAACAAAGAAACTTACTTATGTGTGTTGTGTTAGTTTGCTTTCTTCCTGAGCAATTCTGCCTTGTGTTACAGGATATTGCTGAATCTCTTCAATCAGAAGCTTTGCTGCAAATAGAGAATTTTTGTCAAGGCTTGAATTAAGAGGAAAAAGGAGAAGTATTTGAAGGATTACAAAGAAATTTCAATGATTGCTGAATAAATGCTAAACAAATACAACTGACTGTAACTGTAGCATCTGCTTCGTGTGACAAAATGGAGGCTTTTGTTTGCATCAAGGTGATGCCTGTACTGGGACTGAAGTTCTTTGGAAGTGTTGGGTTGTAACAATAAACAGCAAACCATTTTTAATGGTGTTTTGCAAAGTATCTTTGTAGGAGCTTCTGCTGTGTGGTCATCAGGAGGTACCTTGGAAATACAAGGAGCTTAGGAGGCAGTCATGGAAAAAATGGCTAGAGTGACCACAGCCCTTGGCGGCAATACCATAACGGGACGGACCATGTTCTGCCACCTGGATGCCCCTGCCAATGCCATTAGTGTGTGCCGTGATGCTGCCCAGGTGGTGGTAGCTGGGCGCAACATCTTTAAGATCTACTCCATAGAAGAAGACCAATTTGTGGAGAAACTGAACTTGCGTGTAGGTCGCAAGCCGTCTCTGAACTTCAGCTGTGCTGATGTGGTATGGCACCAGATGGATGAGAATTTGCTGGCCACTGCAGCCACTAATGGTGTTGTTGTGACCTGGAACCTTGGCAAGCCATCCCGTAATAAGCAGGACCAGCTTTTCACTGAGCACAAGCGAACAGTTAATAAGGTGTGCTTCCATCCCACAGAGGTTTATATGCTGCTCAGTGGCTCCCAGGATGGCTACATGAAATGCTTTGACTTGCGCAAGAAAGATTCTGTTAGCACATTCTCAGGTAAGGATGCAAGTCCGGGCTCTCTATGTCTTGCTCTTCTGCTTTCAACAGTGGCCAAGACTGTCTTTTACCAATTCCACCCAATCAAAAGGGTTCTCCCTTCTCTCTTTCCTCCCCCTCTGATTCATACTAATTTTTTCACATAACCTTGAGGTTAGCCTACTGTAATGCAGACTTCATAAAACTGGCTGCTGCTTTTAAAAAATGACTAAAATGTGTCTTTTTAAAGAAAATTGATGCTTAGAATGTACATTGGAAACTACAGCATGGTATTTGCTGATCAGGCTGTCTGTTTCTTGTTCCTGTAGGTCAGTCAGAAAGTGTGCGTGATGTCCAGTTTAGCATACGTGATTACTTTACCTTTGCTGCAACCTTTGAGAATGGCAACGTTCAGCTGTGGGACATCCGCCGGCCTGACCGCTATGAGAGGATGTTCACAGCCCACAACGGGCCTGTATTCTGTTGTGATTGGCATCCAGAAGACAGGTATGCGCAGTGGAACTGGGATTCTGAGCACAAACTCTCCTCCTGGTTGTCACGTGTTTTCCTTGTCTATGTTTTGTTGCTTACCCTCTTTGTTTTCTTCTTTGTTTGACACCTTCTAACTGTGGGGCAATGGCCCCTAAAAATTAACCTTTCAAAACTTGCCTGCTCAGCTGCAACACTTAGTTCTCCAACTTGATAGAACTAAGTTGGCTTATAAGAATCAAAGCTTTGTATCAAAGAATGTGCTTTGCTTTGTAGCCCGATTTCTTTTCCTAATTTAAAACTAATTCTGGGCTAGGAACTGTGGAATGAGGCTTTTATGGTGTGGATGAATGCACTAAAGGAAGAAGGAGTTTTGTATAAGCAAGGGCTGCACCCCTGTGGAGTCACTGGAGCTCTCGAGGGTTCCGTGCCTTGGTGCACTGGTGATTTCAGGACATAAGGCAGTGTGGTTGCTGGGCAGTTTATTTTGCTTGGCTTCTCTTCTCTTCCATCAGGGGCTGGTTGGCAACAGGAGGTCGAGACAAGATGGTGAAGGTTTGGGACATGAACACCAACAGGGCCAAAGAGATCTACTGTGTGCAGACAATAGCCTCTGTGGCGAGGGTCAAGTGGCGACCAGAATGCAGGCACCACATCGCCACGTGCTCCATGATGGTGGACCACAACATTTACGTGTGGGACATACGGCGCCCTTTCATTCCCTCTGCCATGTTCGAAGAGCACAAGGATGTCACCACGGGGATTGTGTGGCGTCATCTCCATGACCCTTACTTCCTCCTGTCCGGCTCCAAGGACAGCACTCTTTACCAGCACATCTTCAAAGATGCCAGCCAGCCCATTGACCGGGCCAACCCTGAGGGCCTTTGCTACAGCCTCTTTGGGGACCTGGCTTTTGCAGCCAAGGAGAGCCTCATCTCATCCGATTCGAACCGCAAGCCCTACATCGGAGACCGGCGCCACCCTATCTTCTTCAAGCGCAAGCTCGATCCCACAGAGCAGTTTGAGTTCATCTCCTCCTCCAGTGCCCTGAGTGTCTTTGAAGCAGACACGGAATGCGATGCTGGCAGCATGGACTGGTTTGTGCGAACCGCCAAGCAGTATGTGCTGGCGGGGAGGCCTCTGGCTGAGCTGTGTGACCATAATGCCAAAGTAGCCAAAGAGCTGAAACGCAACCAGGTGAGGGCTCCATCCCTTCCAGCCGTTGTTGTGAGAATGCCCAGATGCTTGGGGGAAGAGGCACCACCTGCATGCCCTTCCGCCACAGGGAGCATCACAGCTGGCCGGATTTGTGGGTTGCCCTATTTTAAGCCAGCCTTTGAATGTGGGTATTTGACTCTGGGTGACCTGAAATCAGTTTTGCTGATGTTGGAGGTTTGGGGTGTATTTGGAGCAAGGGCCAGAGTTAGACCCTGAAGTGCTGCAAGCAAAAGGTGCTGCTGTACAGAGCAGAAACCCAGATGTCTTGTATTTTTATACGAGGCCTGCGCAATCGGAGGCGTCTCCCTTCCTGCCAGTTGTGGAGGCTGGTTAGAATGAGATTTCAGCCCTGGGATCCATGACGGGGGTCTGCTGTCTTTGTGTCCACCCCATTTCCTCTCCCCCCCAAGGCTTGACGTGTGATGTTCATTGATTCGTATGGTGGCCATTAGTTGCGGAGCGCGCTTCTCGGTCACGTTTGCCTTCCTCTCTGTTCCTTGCATGTACAGCACGGCCGATGACTGTTCATCCTTACTGGTCTTTCACTTTCCAGGTTGCTCAGACATGGACGATGCTCCGGATCATTTACTCCAGTCCTAGCACTGTGCCCACTACAAACTTAAATCACAGCTTAGGGAAGAGTAGCTCCAGCCTTCCGCTCATGAATAGGTAAAAGAATGCATCGGCATTCTCACACTCGGTATGGCATAGGTGATGCAATGTAAAGCAGCTTTCATCATTTGATGACCTTGAGACGTTGGCTGCCTGGGGATGATGGGAGTTGCAGTCCAATGCATCTGCAGGACATCAGATTGGAGAAATCTGAAGTAGGCTGTGGGCTGATGCAGGAGACCTGACCTTGTGAGGGGTTGTATTTACACGGTGGACGAGGGGAGTCATCTCAGTAACTGCAGGATTGTAGTTCCTCTTCTATGTAAGTGTGTGCATGGGAGTTCTCACAATTAATGATCCTGTGAGTCATACTTTAGTATCTGTTCTGTTTGTGGGAGCTCAGGATGTCTCTTGTGCATGAATCTATGCATAAATGCTCAAGTGCCCGTGATGGTCTCTTCATGGAGAACAAGGATGAGCAAAGATCTTTGCTTCAGCACTTGAAGAATAAGAAGAAGGGTGGCCAGACCATGTGGGAAAATGTGCTGCATTAGGACACATCTGCAGATTCTTGGGAAGTGGAAGGGTAAAGTATTACCTTGATGGGAGTTGTAGGAAATGGAGGATTTGGTTTTTTGTAATGTAAATTTTGAATCCTTTCTTCATTGGTTCTTCAGTCCGCGTATGCTTTTTTCTTGAGCGTGTCTACACCAGACATTTTTGGAATCACATTTTTTACACTGGGAATAGGAGACATTTCCATTTGCAGTACATATGCACAAACCAAGACGTTTATCTTTTTTTCAAGTGCTCCAACCCTCTCTGAGCTCTTGGAAATGGGGCAGACATCTAAGAAAAATATTCACCCTGGAGATACATCCAGAAAAGTGGTCAATTGCTTTATATGTGCTTATGTGTAAGACAAGGCAGCTTGAGCAATGAGAGAGTTGTGCGAGATTGTATAGAGAAACTCGAAATAACAGGCATTGGGAGTGTGGGTGAGCGGAGGCAGAAGGGATGTTGGGAGCAAGGATGGCTGCATCAGATTTCTCCAGGGACTAACATGGATCTGTATTTCTCTCCCAGCTTCAACCTGAAAGATATTCCTTCTGGGATGGGCAGTGAGTCAAGGCTGGAGCGGAGCAAGGGAGAGAACCGGCCCGAAAACATCCTCATGGATTCTTCCTCCACCCTGATCAATAATGATGGTGAGACCTCAGGCTGGGAAGTAATGCCCACACCTTCAGTTTTGCATATCCACACTTCTACCTATCTGCTTGCTTACCTTTAAGAAGCACTTCAGTTACCTCTAGTAGTAATGTTACTCCTCTTTTTCTGCTTCTCTATTTTCTCTTGGATGCTCAGAGAATGAGGAGACTGAAGGCAGTGACGTCCCTGCTGATTATCTCCTTGGGGATGTGGAAGGGGATGAAGATGACCTGTACATGCTGGACCATGAAAACCCCCACAGTGAGTGTGTTCCCTGGGTCACTGTTGCTTCTTTCTGCTCTCCTTTCTCTGCCGGGTCTTTCCTGGCCTGCCTTCACTCTTCCAACCCCATGTCGTCTTACAGCTGAGGAGCAGGAGTACATCCTTCCCCAGGAGGCCTTCCCTCTGCGTCATGAGATTGTGGACAACCCTTCTGCTTTGGACCACTTGCAGGACAAAGCGGACTCGCCCCACGTCAGCGGCAACGAGGCAGAAACGGTTTCCCTGACACCTGTGGAGTCTTTCTCGCTAATCTCCATCTCTCATTCTCTGTATGAGAACCGGCTGCCTGCTGACTTCTTCAGTCCCATCGTCCGTGACATGCTGCTTTTCTACGCCGAGCAGGGGGATGTGCAGATGGCAGTGTCTGTGCTCATCGTGCTGGGAGATCGTGTCCGGAAGGAGATTGATGACCAGGCACAGGTACCCACCAAGGCTGTGGGCTCCTGTTTTGTGGCCATCGCCTCTGCGTAGCTGCCAAGGCCCCGGCCCTTTCCTAATCCTTGGAGCCTGCTGCTGCTCCCGAGTGTTGCTGCCACTTCAGCAACCCTCGTCAAGTGAGCAAGCAGTGAGGGGAGCAAGGAGAAGGGACAAGAACCTGTGCCGGCCTTGTCACCTGGCGCCAGGTGGCCCAGAGGGAGAGGTGAGTGAATGGGCAGTGGCAGTGAGGAAGAAGAGGAGGAGGGCAACCACTCAGGGCATCTTCTCTAACGCCCCTGCCCCCTAACAGTGTGGAATCAGAACCTGTGTCCCCAGCCCAAGATGGGGGTTCCTTAGTAGAGGGGGGAAGGTTTTTATTTGGTAGGCAGCACCTTTGGATACAAGCAGCTTGGTCTCTTCTCCAGCATGTTTCCCTTTGTGGATATGAAGGTCGAAGGTCAGGAACTGTCCAGCTGGCCATATTCTGAGTGTGTTAGAGCCGAGCCCCCTTCCTTCCTTCCTTCCCTCTCCACAGATGGGCAGTGATAGCAAAACGTGGTACTCTGGGCTCTTGGATAGGCACTCTTAAGCTCCACCCATTTATGGAGAATCAAGATGAAAACTTCTAAGAAGCAGGGATTGTGGTAGATTTTGGATTTTTCAGATTCAGCATTTGTTTTGAGGTTCCCACCACCTGTAGTACTTTAGTTCAGAAGTCAGGTTTTTTTTTAAAACAGTCAGGAAAGAGGGCTTAGTTATGGTGGACGGTAGAGTTGAGGATAAGCTAACGAGCGTGGGCCTAGGGCATGTTCTTGACACAGCCCTGATGCTTGAGCTGCGCAGGCCTGTGCCTGGAAGGGAGTCCAGCTGGGGCCTCTTCGTGACAGGAGAAGGGTAGCACATGCATGAAATAAACAACTGTTCTTCACGTTGATGCGTGTGACAGCTTATTATATGGGAATGGGCCAAAAATCTGGGCATATCAGGACATACTGTTGGTCATTCCACAATGTAGACAGTCCTAGTCCCAACTTAATTTTCTTGTCTACGGAGAATATAAACCAAATGGATATTGTTTTCTCTGGTGGGGGCATTACAGTTCCCCAAGCCCCACATGTCTGTGTCTGTTGAGTAATAGTACTGGTGTGTGTCTAGTAATAGAGCTTGAGCCCCCAGGGAAAGGTGGGCAGAGATCTTTGGAGACAGGTGTGCAATTTTGCATATGTCTTAAAATTTCACAGGAACACTGGTACATGTCCTACATTGACTTGCTGCAGCGCTTCCAGCTGTGGAACATCTCGAATGAGGTGATCAAACTGAGCACATGCAGAGCCATCAACTGCCTCAACCAGGCCTCCACGACGCTGCACATCAACTGCAGCAATTGCAAAAGGCCCATGAGCAACAAGGGCTGGATTTGTGACAGGTAAGAAGCGTGCAAGGAAGGGCAGGGCAGACCTTCCTTTGTGTCACACTGGGAGATCGTAAGTATATGAAACTTCCTTATCTGGAGCCAGACCACTGTTCGAGCTTGCTCAGCACTGCCCCCTCTCGTAGCCAAGCATCTCTGAGGTCAGAGGCCGAGTCGCTTTGAACTTTGGTAGCCAAGATCATTTCAGAATAGAAGGACTGAGCCCAGGATCTGCATGCAAAAGAACATGCTCTGCTAAGCTGGGGCCTACTCTCATGCAACACTTTGCAAAGGCATTTCCTGATCAGTCTCCCCAATCACTCCTGCAACAGACTTGGCTTTGCCTTGTGCTACTGCAGGCTGAATGCATCATCATCGTGTGGGCCCCATCAAGGGTCTCTCCCCAGCAGCTGCTGGCCTGTTCCTAGTGAGAACACTATTCACCTCAGGTTGCGATCGCACTCCCAATAGTAAGTTCATGCTTGGCTTAACTTCAGCTGCTGTAGCTACAGAGGTTGCAGTTGAGGGTCAAACTGTGCTTCCTACGTTTGAGCCCCTCCTTTCTGTCAGGGAGCTCAGGCCACATCCACAACTCTCTGCGTCTGGCCCCTCTGTTCATCTTCACAGTATCTTGACAAGCTTATGGCGCATGGTCCAGGTTTACTCAGTAGCTCCGTGGGTGCGTGAGAATTTGAACCGTGGTTTCTTTCAGGTGTCGGCAGTGTGCCAGCATGTGCGCCGTGTGCCATCATGTGGTGAAGGGCCTGTTCGTGTGGTGCCAGGGCTGCAGTCATGGTGGCCACCTGCAGCACATCATGAAATGGCTGGAGACCAGCTCTCACTGCCCTGCAGGATGCGGCCACCTCTGTGAATACACCTGAACCGAAAGGAACGGTGTCCGTGAGAGAACAAAAGGTGGTCTGGTGACTGCTTAGAACTGACACGGAGAACTCCTGCTTGTGCGAGGCATTAAGGCCACCGGTGTTCGTGTCCCGGGCAGCTGCGTGAGAAAGCACCGTGCGAAGGGACCTTCTTTACTTCAGGACAAGTGGCGAAACTTCTAATGCTCAGGGATCCTTCTGGAAAGCTTCACCTAGTCACTTCTATTTATTGTTTTACAGCTACATAAACGGGATTTTTTTGTTACTATGATTCTATTCAAACCTGCTTAATAAGTCAAGATGGCCACAGCAAGATCCAACCCAATTTTTTTATATTGAATTAAAAGAGCGGAGCAAACTTGACTGCTTGCTGTTTTGTATGGTGTGCCCAAATCCTTTTCAATAATGCTCCTGATTACCTAATGGCAAGTAGTGAGCCATGGAGCAGCCTCTGGATTCCTTCCTCAGAAAGCAGGTGGCCTCCCAGATTCTCTGTTGGGCAGCTTAATTCTGACCAGAACCATAATTTCCAGCACTTAGTGGCAATTGCCTAAAATGTATGAACAGTGTTGCAATCAGAAAGTTGAGTGGTCTTCCAGCTGCATGTCACCAGAAGCCAAAGACTGACTTATCACGTAAGTGGAGGGCTGCAAAATGATGTGCGAGTTGCAGATAAAGCAGTCCAGTGTTTGGCGCAGTAACACGGCTGCCACTGTGCCGTGAAAGGCCTAGTGCAGGGGCAGACCAGCTAGGGCCTTTCGGATGGCTTGGGCTCGACTTCCATGATGCACTACCCTTGGATTTCCTTGCTCGGGCTGTGATCCAAATCATCTAGAGGACATCATGTTGCCCGCCAACTTTTTTATATTCCTTGTAACTCTGAACCCTCAGTCATTCTTAAAGTCTGCCTCAGGTCAACTGCTTGTCTTTTGTGGGGCCAGCAGCAGGGTATATTTGGACCTCTCTTAAGTTAAACATTATTCTGGCAGGACAACTTGCAGTAAAATATAAAGTACAGTTACATATAATCAATATATCTTAAATGAGAAAGTACAAATCAAACTGGTAGAAGCAACATAGTACCACCCATTAAAATTAAACTTGGCAATGAAAGACCTATCAAGGTAGGCACCAGGCAAGTCTCTCTGAGGATAGTATTCTATATCATTGGGGTGCCAACAGTAAAAAGGCCCTATCTATAGTTGATGCATGTCACATCTATAAAGTACTTTTGAGTTAAAATAAAAATCCACGTAATGAATACCAACTTGAACTATGCTGCTATTCTCCAAAGTCTTTGACACAGTTCTTCTAAAGGAATCTACAACCACATTGCCCTGTGTTGCAGCATTGGGTTGTTGGTCCATTTCATCAGAACAAACTGTTATGAAATACTTAGTGGTAATATACAGTATTTATTTACTCATGCTTTTGCTGCTGAAATGATTTCCTTAGAAACAGTAAAGGCGACCTTCTGTTGGTAGGTGTGCATTTCATTATGGATTATCAGGAATAGACAACATGCAGTTTTGCTTTTACTGCGCTCTTTCCCCAGTCCACAAAAATTGCCATTACCCCCTCCATCATCAGCACCCCAGCATTCATGATCTGTGACTGCTTTATTTAGAGACAGGAATACAAGGAAATGTACCTTATTCACTAAAAAAATACATGTCAGCATTCAACAGGTACAATGTAATTACCCTTAAATGGTTCAATCATGTTAACTATAAATTAGCAAGCACAGAAAATTATGTTCTGGTCCACCTTCAGCTTGAGATGTATAAATCTGGTCCACAGTGAGGAAAGGTCTGACTGCACATGGATTAGCTTTATTTGCCACCGCGTAGGAAGTTGTGCCTGGACCTCAAGTGCTATAGGACACTCTGACAAAGGCCATCTTGCTTGAAAGGATACCTAAGATTCTAGAACCTGTTCATGTCAGGGATCTCATTATGGGAGGGGTTCTGGAACCCCTGAACCAATCACACCCTTTTTCCAAGAGGAGGGTTAAGTGGAAGGCCCGGCAGCTCTTTCCGCTGCCTCCCCCCACCTTGAAAAAATGGATGATGCCTCTGCTTCGGCGGGGTACTCCCATCGCCACATGGAGAGGAAGATGAGTGCGATGGCTTGTACAGTCTTCAATGAACTTCGACTGGAAGGGAAGCTCTGTGACGTGATCATCAAGGTCAACGGGTGTGAGTTCAATGCCCACAAGAACATCCTCTGTAGCTGCAGCTCCTATTTTAGGTCAGTGCTTGGATATTTCCTGGAGGCAGCCTGTATCCTGGTCAAACTTCCAGGGATGTGTCATCTTAATTTCTGGGTTCATTATATAAAGTCATAAATGCTGAAGTTCATGTCTCTTGAAAGATGCACTTCTTTCTCCAACCTTGGCACCTAATCCTTGTGTGTAAGTCATTTCAGCTCACTACAGAAGTTGACCAGTAAACAAATAATTTTTATTAATGGTTCATCCATTAAGCTTAAATAGGTGACCATATACCAAAACCACACTATAAATATGCTTTTTCAAAATAAATGAATGCTACCAGAATACTTAAGAAGGTCATCTTGTAGTATGTTCTTCAGACTCTTACAGCGAAAGTGAACCTAGCTAGTGCTACAAATGCACAAGAGTGTATTCTGAACTCACAATCTTACCAATTAAAACTTTAGGGCAAGGTGACCACCTCAAAGCTTAATGCAGAAGTGGGGTCTTGTATCAAAGCTAAATAAGTCAAGGAGAAATAGAAACCAGAACAGAAAGGACTAGGATAGGAATAAAACAAATGGCAGTTGGAGTTTGAGACTGGGAAGGCTCCTGCTTTACTGTTCAGAGAAAACTGACTCCATGATTACTACCATCGATTGGAATGATGAGATTTATCAGGTGGGGGGATTTTTAGCATGTAACTATAAGAAGATAGCATGGTGCCGCACTTCCAACCATTTCTGAGCTATAGTAGGACAAGGCTGAACCTAATGCTGTTTAAGGCAACTAAGCAAGTTTTCAGCAACGGGCAGGGGCCTCATTTTTGCATGCACAATCACACAGTCCAAGCCTTGCACTCCATGCATTAGGAGCTGGATCTGTTTTTCCCTGAGCCAGACGGCTGCAAAAGAAGCTGATCTTCCTGGCTCAAGAAAGCTGTGAAAGAGTGCACGAGTCACGTTCTAGAGCATACCAAAAGTCTGGGCTCTGAATGAACCTGCATATCCAAAGAAAATGGTTTGTTCCGTCCCAAACATGACTAGATGGTTTGCGCTGACACACACTGATGTGTTGGTACCAAGGCCAAACGGTGTCCCCATGCATGGCGTCCTTTCATGGCCCCAGCTGTGACTGGGAGCAGTCTGGTCTGATGGTAGGCATAGTTGCAATGCCTCTGTGTCATAAGCAAGGCCTGCGTGCTCACGAGGGTGATGGTGCAGCGTGGGCTTGACTTCACATTGCTCTACACGAGCAGTAATTCCCACGTTCCACCTTCTAATGCATGCAGCTTTATCAATAATACAACGCCAGTGGCCACCATAAAAAGTAAGAAATAGAAGTGACTGATGATAGCGATTGAGGTTCAGCAGGTCGGCTGGAGAAGCTCGGTGGACCAAAACTGGTTTTCTTGAGGGACAGCAACTCAGGATGCCATAGACACCAATGCAAAATAGTTGTGTTCTCTTTCAGAGCTCTTTTTACCAGTAGCTGGAACAACTCAGAAAAAAGAGTATATAATATTCCTGGCATTACCCCAGATATGATGAAGCTCATCATTGAGTATGCCTACACACGGACAGTGCCCATCACTGTGGACAATGTGGAGAGGCTTCTTGTGGCTGCTGACCAGTTCAATGTGATGGGCATTGTGAGGGCTTCTTCTGACTTCATGAAATCTCAGCTGTGCCTGGAGAACTGCATTGGAATCTGCAAGTTCACAGAGTACTACTACTGCCCCGATCTGCGGCAGGCGGCCTACATGTTCATCTTGCACAGCTTTGAGGAGATGGTGAAGGCGTCTACTGAATTCCTGGAGCTCTCAGTCAATGAGTTTAAAGACATCATTGAAAAGGACGAACTCAATGTGAAACAGGAAGACGCCGTCTTCGAGGCCATCCTCAAATGGATCGCCCACGATTCCCCCAGCAGAAGGCAGCACATGGCAGTCCTGCTTCCAAAGGTGAGCCACTCCGCGTTTGTTCCATTTTCCTTCTAATAGCCGGAGCTCTGTTGGCGTCTCGTGGCTTGGCCTTTTCCTGACTGGATGGCTTGATTTCCTGTTCCACTAGCACTGGCTTTAGGGCAGCCCTGTGTTCTTTTTGAAAATGTCCTGTATTTGAAGGGATGCCCAGTCCAAATCCAGTTCAGAGACACAGAACTAAATCCAGTGTAGAGATGGACAACAGAGCCAGGCCCTTGCAGTTGCCCTGCAGGCTTTGCATCCAACTAGCAGGCTGAGCCGTCACTTGTTACCTGAGCGTGATCAACTTGATCACTTTTAGCTATGTTCACCTGGTGGCTTCTAGTATAGGTAAATAGAGTTTTTGTTTGTTTGTTTTGTTAGTCGCAAAGTCATGCCCAACCTATCATGACCCCATGGACAACATTCCTTCAGGCCTTCCTGTCCTCCACCGTCCCCCGGAGTCCACTTAAGCTCATGCCGACTGCTTCAGTGACTCCATCCAGCCACCTCATCCTCTGCCGTCCCCTGCTTCTTTTGCCATCAATCGTTCCCAGCATTAGGCTCTTCTCCAGGGAGTCCTTCCTTCTCATTAGATGGCCAAAGTATTTGAGTTTCATCTTCAGTATCTGGCCTTCTGAAGAGCAGTCAGGGTTGATCTCCTCTAGGACTGATCAGATTGATCGCCTTGCGGTCCAAGGGACTTGCAGGAGTCTCCTCCAGCACCACAATTCAAAGGCCTCAATTTTTCAGCGCTCTGCCTTATGGTCCAAACTTTCACAGCCATACATTGCAACTGGGAAAACCATAGCCTTGACTATACGCACTTTTGTTGGCAGGGTGATGTCTCTGCTTTTTAGTATGCTGTCTAGATTTGCCATAGCTTTCCTCCCAAGGAGCAAGCATCTTTTAATTTCTTGGCTGCATTCTCCATCTGCAGTGATCTTGGAGCCCAGGAAAATAAAATCTGTCACTACCTCCATTTCTTCCCCATCTCTTTGCCAGGAAGTGATAGGACCAGATGCCATGATCTTAGCTTTCTTAATGTTGAGTTTCAAGCCAACTTTTGCGCTCTCCTCCTTCACCTGCATCAAGAGGCTCTTTAGTTCCTCTTCACTTTCTGCCATGAGAGTGGTATCATCTGCATATCTGAGGTTGTTGATATTTCTCCCAGCAATCTTAATTCCAACTGGTGATTCATCTAGCCCCGCCTTTCTCATGATGTGCTCTGCATATAAGTTAAATAGGCAGGGCGACAGTATACAGCCTTGCCGAACTCCTTTCTCGATGTTGAACCAATCAGTGGTTCCATGTCCAGTTCTCACTGTTGCTTCTTGACCTGCATGCAGGTTTCTCAAGAGACAAATAAGATGGTCTGGTAAAATTATAGTACAAAATGTAATTTAAAAACCAGCATCAAAATATACAGACTAAAATAGCAACAGTCAATTAAAGTTATGATAAGCATGAGCGAACCAGAACATTTTTACTTGGTGCCTGAGCAGCTTTTACCTGGTACCAAGCAGGTAAAAGCTGCTCAGGCACTAAGATAGCAGGGGGTTCCAGGTGAGATCTCCTTTGTTAAAAATACAGTAAGAAGGATGCTTTGTTGGCTGAGGTGTGCTGGTCGCTGTAAGACTTTTTTCTCATCCAAACATTCAGAGGATTGTACTCAGTCCTGTCAGCTGCACCCTTGTTTTCAGAAGCCTTCAGACTTGGAGATTTCTGATCGTCTGCTCTTTGCCTCCTCATCCTCCTGCCCTGCATTTTTCACTAGAAGGGCTTTTTGTGGTGGTACATCAGAGCCAGGGACTGGGGAGACCTCAGGACAGCCTATATCCTGGGCCTCCCGTTCTCCTCCCCTCATTACACATCAAAATGCCCCCTTCCCTTTCTCTCTGAAATCTTTCTTCCAACCCCAGAGGGCAGCTGGAACGCTTCTTTCTGCGCTGGTCCTGGGGAGCAGCGTCTCTGACTGCTGTGGAGCTGGGGAATTCCTATTATGCTGTGGCCCCTCAGACAACATCTAGAGGCCACAGGATTGTTCCCTTTGTCACTCTCATTATTAAATATATCATTAAAATAATGTTTGGAAACGATTGGCTTTTAGGAAGAAAAGGAGAATAATTCACAAAGATATAGGAGACATATTTTGGGGAAGGGCTGCAGCTCAGTGGTTGGCATGCAGAACATCTGGCTTCAGTCTCTCTCTCTCTCTCTCTCTCTCTCGCCCTCTCATTTCCAGTTGAAAGGAGAAGGGAAGCGGGTGATAGGAAGGGCCTCTGCCTCCCTACTAACACAGAACATCTGATGGGCTCTGCAAGCTTAGGGTGTAATTAATTTGCTGCTGCAAGGCTCATGGCTGTTTCCACTGCCAGTCAGAACAGACAATACTGGTTCAAGTGGCCAGTAGTTTGGCCTGACATAAGCATCTTAGTTCCGTGCACCTCGGCGTTTAGTCATGCCGGCCACATGACCACGGAGACCGTCTGCAGACAAACGCTGGCTCCCTCGGCCAGGAAACGGAGATGAGCGCCGCCCCCGAGAGTCAGGCATGACTGGACTTCACGTCAAGGGGAAGCCTTTACCTTTACCTTTAAGCACCTTAGTAGTGCCCTGATGGAGCCTCCCAGGGGTCTTCCCTCCAGTGCAAGGTAGTTATTTGAGTGACGAGATCAAATCTCTGCTTCTAAAGCCACTCACTCATGTCTTGGAGGGCTCTTTTGGCATCTCACTGCTTCCAGGCAGTTTGTCGTTGTGCTGTTCTGAGAAGACGGACACCGCTTTGTCAGGTGGCTGCGCCTGAACTGCAAGGCATGTGACCTGGCCTCCTTTACGGCAAGTGGGGCATAGGGGTGTCGTGCGCATGTGTTCTGACAAGCCTCGGGGGCACACACAAGAGGCTAACAGTTTTGGTGGGCCTGGTGGCTCAGAATCTGAGGATGAGGCGAGCAGAGAAGCAGGAGAGGTTGCTTGCTCTGGCTGGACTGACATCTCAAACTCCGATAATGAGATGATAGTTGGAACAGGCCCAGGTCCAGCTGCAGTCCAAGACTCTGCATACCTACTTATGCCTGCTATGGGGAGATCCGTTCAAGCACAGCCATGGGGCCCAGTCAACCTGCCCGTGGGAATGGGGAATTAGATACGGGGAGTCTATGAGATGGGGAACGTCAGCCTCCTGAGGAGGTTGTCCTGATAGTCCTAGGGTGGCCCAGTTGGGATCTCTGAGGGAGGAGTGGAGATGTGCTCAGCTCCAGAGCACTCCTCCTCGAGGGACCCATGCAGAAGGATTCGTAAGGAAAACTTTGGGTGAAGAATGTCAGAGAGGGTTCAGAGACTCACATGTAAAATAAAGACATTTGGCAAAGAAGCACTGGGGTTTTTTACTTTTTAAAAATATGTTTAAACTAAGAAAAACAATACAATTAATATAATAATAATTATAGCTAAACATTACTGATTAACACAGTTAAACAATACATTGATATCAGTGCTCCCTCCACCAGGACCAACAACTCTAATTACTTAGTGTAAGATAATTTATTCATTCAGGTTGCCCCACATTCCTTCAAGAACTGCACTGACTCTTGTGGAGGTTCACACTCCTTTCCTTTTATTAAAACGTATTCAATGAAAGGTCTCCAAACACTTTCAAATTTGTTTTCACTTATCAAGCCTTTTTTCCATTTAATATCAAAAGTTAACTTATCTTTACTAGCTATATTCCAGAGGTCTTTATACCAGTCAGCTATATGATATTCACCTTTTGTTTTCCAATTCCTTGCTATTATTACTCTTACTGCAGTTAATAAATTTATCATTTAGTATTTTGTCCCATCTGTTCTCTAAATAATGACAATAATGCTAATCCAGGATCAACTTCAATATCTAAATTCAATATTTTACCAATTCCTTTAAGATCCTTTCCCAAAACTCATTTATATATTTATACTTCCACCACATATGGAAATATGTACCCACTTCTTGGTTGCATCTCCATCACATGCTGGAATAATCGTTATTCATATAATTCAATTTAACCGGAGTTAAAAATTCTCCTTAATTCTTACTGACATAAATTTTAAAATTCTCTTGCCCCGCATATTATTCTGCAGAGACGCACTGGCGAGACCGTTGCTGCTGCGCGAAGGGGGGACAGCAGGTCTGCCGCACACGTGTGCGACCCACAGGGCTCCAGTGCCCCTTACGAGACGCAGCCCTCCCGCTTGCTGTGGGCCCTCACCTGCCGCCTCTCGCTCGCTCCCCTTTCCTTGCAGGTCCGTCTGGCCTTGATGCACGCGGAATATTTTATGAACAATGTCAAAATGCATGACTATGTGAAGGACAGCGAGGAGTGCAAGCCCATTGTTATCGATGCGCTGAAGGCGATGTACGACCTGAACATGAACGGCCCGTCGAGTTCCGACTTCACCAACCCCCTGACGAGGCCCCGCCTGCCATACGCCATCTTGTTTGCCATCGGCGGCTGGAGCGGCGGGAGTCCGACCAACGCCATCGAGACGTACGACGCCCGCGCAGACCGCTGGGTGAACGTGACGTGCCAGCAGGAGAGCCCCCGGGCGTACCACGGGGCCGCCTACCTGAAGGGCTACGTCTACATCATCGGGGGCTTCGACAGCGTGGACTACTTCAACAGCGTCAAGCGATTTGAGCCCGTCAAAAAGACGTGGCACCAGGTTGCGCCCATGCACTCGAGGCGCTGCTACGTGAGCGTCACTGTCCTCGAGGACTTCATCTACGCCATGGGTGGCTTCGATGGGTACGTGCGTCTCAACACGGCTGAGCGGTACGAGCCCGAGACCAACCAGTGGACCTTGATAGCCCCCATGCATGAGCAGAGGAGCGACGCAAGCGCCACCACCCTGTATGGAAAGGTAACGCCCCTGCGAGGGGTCCGCACATCTGTCAAGAGGGCCATCCGCCAGGGCGGCCCTCCACAGGGCAGAGGCGGGCTTGGAGAAGGTTGGCGCTTCCTCGGGGGCTCGGAGAAAGGAAGCGAAGTCTTGACAGCCCGCTCCAGTCCTCTCGCCGGACGCTAGACGGCCATGCTGTCTGGGGATGATAGGGGTGGTAGTCTGGCACATCCGGCAGGCATTGAGTTGGCAAAGGTTGATGGGGACGGCTTATTTTCCGCAGGGCCCATCTTCAGCCTGTGCTTCTTTCTGAAGTTTTTAAGCTGCCTCCGTTTCCCAGCATGTGCTTTCAGTTTTTGTGTCTATGATGGCATAACACGAACTCGTAGTGTGAGCTGTTGCATTCTGGACTGATTCTGGACTCATTTTCACATTAGGTGAACTCGGCCACACTAACAAACCATGGTTAACCATGAACTACCCAGAAATAGGTCCTATTTTGTCCTGGTTTGTTGCTGAGTTGTGAGCTCTGGGTTATCATTACATGCAAACCTAGAACTGTGAGTAGTTCATGGATATTTCTGGAATCCTTCAAAGGAGTCAGGCAAGAATAATAGAAAACCTGCATTTCTCTACATGATGATGCAACCATACTGCAAGAGTAATTGAGATACAGGGAGGAAATGGGCGAAAGAAGACTGAAACAAAAACCCAGGGATTAAGAAAGCAAACTATGGTTTGTTGGATCATCTGCCAGGCAGTCCCTGGGTGGGGCAACAAACCTCAGGTTAACCACAGGCTAGGGCTCTGTGCAAACCAGAAATCTATTTTCAGCAGACATCAATGCAGACCTATTTTGGGGGTGCAAGGAAAAATAGTTCTCTCTGATTGTTGATGTACTAGAGGGCAGGCAGTAAACGGAAGCTCAGCCCAACTAAGCCTTGCCTCAGGCTCGCAGACTGGGAGTGTTGTTTGGCCTGGCCTCATGAGCTCCAGTTGTGCTCTATGCTTTAAGGCAGGGGTCCTCAAACCTTTTGAACAGGGGGCCAGTTAAAGGTGCTGGCGATGGGCGCAGGCTGCCAAGGCGGTGTGGGCGGGGCGGGGCGGGGGGGAGGCGCACGCGGTAAGGCAGGGGCGTGTGTGCACAGAGATCGTTTTCTCCGAGTGAGTCCAAAACGATCCCCTTGCAAGCAAGCCAGCGCCTTGCCACCCCCGTGCGCGTGCGCAGCAAGTCCACACCTCCATGGCGGGCCGGATAAATGGGCATGGCGGGCCGGATCCGGCCCGCAGGCTGTAGTTTGAGCACCCATGCTTTAAGGGAACTCTCATCACGTGCGATCGATGTAGGAGCCGCCCTGTGCAGCGATAGCCTGACCACGACTAAAGTTTGTTTCGGGCTGTTTTAGTGTGCCCCGTGCATTTGCCTTTGAAACCGTTTGGAAATTTTCCTTAGAGTAGAATGCAGCTGTATGCTTATTAAGGTGGATCGCGTTGTGCCCGTCTTGGGATGGCAGCTTTGTGACCTGGCCATTTCCGAACACAGGTGAAATGCTAATTTTAATCTGTGAATCTAACCAAATCCAGAGAGGACAAGGCGCAGATCTCCACTCAGCCTTGAAGGGAACAGTGACGTTGGACCAGCTCCTGGCCAAACCCACCATACAGAGTTGCTATGAGAATAACCAAATAGGGACCTCGCACATTTTCCTAAGCTCCTTAGTCATGGTTTGCAAACATGTTTAATGATATGTGTGCATCAGGCTTATAACAGTTTGGCTTCTCCCCAAGGAACTCTGGGAAATGTAGTTTTGGGGGGCTAGGGCAGCTGAGACCTTCACAGACAGCAGTCCCCAGGACTTCTGTGAGGACGCCATGACAGTTAAAATGGCGTGAGGGCCTCCAATTCTTTCAACAATGCATCATAACGATTCAGTGGTGTGAACTCCTACCTCTCTCTTCCCCTGTGATTACAAAAGGTCTATATCTGCGGGGGGTTTAACGGGAACGAGTGCCTCTTCACAGCTGAAGTCTACGACGCCAAGATCGACCAGTGGAGCCTGATCGCGCCCATGAGGAGCAGGCGAAGCGGCATTGGTGTCATCGCGTACGGAGAGCACGTCTATGCGGTGAGCCCAGGGGCCTCTCATGGCTGCGCCAGCGCACACTCTTCTGCGGAACGGCCTTGGGACACTCTTTTCCTTCGTTTGGGTTCGCCGAGGCAGGGAGCGGCCCAACTATTGCCCATTAATTGTCTTTATTTAATCAGTGTGGTCACACATGATTGCCAAAAAAAAAAAAAGGAAATGAAAGTACACATATTTCTGTAAGACAAACATATTTAATGTATGCCTACAGACACATGTATGGAACAAATGCTTATAATTTAGAAATAATGCAGTGCTGAGCACTCTAGTGGGGAAGATGTTGAGCAGGTGGCCTGTGCAGTCCCTGCCGAGACTGCTGTTTGGGTGCTGCCAACAGCGGATGGGCCACTTCCAGTCTCCAGGTTCCCATCTTCACGCTGGACTTGGAGCAGGCATTCCTTCAAACGGAGCGCGCTATTCAGTAGAAGGACTGTCAGAGGACTATCTTCTGCAAAGTGGGACACGGACCCCTTTCTCTGTGCAAGTGAACAGACTCCATATTCCAGGAAGATGTGTGCACGGCGTGATTCCCACGAATTCATGCTCCTAGTTCAGCCTCAAGCATGTTGGTGTGGCCAGGCGGCGACACTATCCGGTGCCCGCCACAAGCTGGCAAGAGCAGCAAGCAGCGATTTAAATTTTCCCACCATGCCTTCAGTGTGGTGATGCTCAGAGGCATGGTGGGAAATGACAAGGGCTGCTTGCTGCCACAGCATAAGCCCCCAGCTGGGAGTCCATCACCTTGCAGGCAGCCCTGCGATTCTCAGAAGCTCACCAAAGGGCGTTCCTGTATGGTCTGTGCATGAGAGGCTATGCTGGCAGCGTCCCCCAGGATCAAGGGCTATACTAGGAGCAAAGGCAGCCTTGAAATCGGCTTCTGGGGCCACCAGGGGACTTTCCGTAGGTCAGGGTGTTCCAAACAGTCCCTATCACCAGCTTGGTGTTGCAGTTCGCAGCTGATGTGCCGCAGTCTCTCATCAAGCTATAAATTTCTCACTCTGACATTCCCACAAATTAAGGCAAGACTTTCTGTGTGAAGCTGCAAGATGCAATCTCGTAAGAAATACCAGCCACCCTTTCTTGTTTTTTTAATAAAGCTCTTCATGCTAGACTACGCATTTCATCTAACATGGCAAGTCTGACAAGTGAAACAGACTTGAGCTTTTTTGTTAGAGTAAGTCCTTTGCAAAGCACAGAAATTCGGTGGCAGACTGGCCAACCTGGAAGAGGGCTTCCTAGAAAAGTGGCAGCTGGCCCTCTCGTGCGAATGCGTGTACGAGCATCTCAGAGGTGGGTCAGAAGCTGGCATCAGCCCTCTTCCCAGCCGCTGAGGACCAAGCTACAGGGCTGGGCCAACAGCGCAGCTGGGTCCTCCTGAACAGCACTGCCTGTTTCTCTGCTCCCTCCAGGTGGGTGGATTTGATGGCGCCAACCGCCTTCGGAGCGCAGAGGCATACAACCCCATAGCCAACACCTGGCGGACGATCCCAACCATGTTCAACCCCCGGAGCAACTTCGGCATCGAAGTGGTCGACGACCTGCTGTTTGTGGTGGGTGGGTTCAATGGCTTCACGACAACGTTCAACGTCGAATGTTACGACGAAAAGACAGATGAGTGGTATGACGCCCACGACATGAGCATCTATCGCAGTGCGCTGAGCTGCTGCGTGGTGCCCGGGCTGCCCAACGTTGGAGAGTACGCGGCCAGGCGGGACAACTACGTGGGGTCATCCCAGAGGGATGAGGTCAAGTACTCCTCATCCACAAGCACACTGCCTGTGTGAAAAGCTCCTTGACGAATAAAGCCCTCTAAGCAAGACCTATATGCATAGGTGGATTCACCTTTTATTTCCCCCCAACTAAGCAGTGCAATGAACGAAAGGCAGGCAATCCTCCCCCATTCAGGGCCTCGACGCCCCAGCTCTTTACCCGGCAGGCAGCCACAGAGTTGGAGAAATTCTGAGGCCATGAAGAAAGATCTCGGGAACATCGACAGGATGCAGAGACAAGCTGCAAGGGTCAGGGAGGCTATTGGGTTCTGCTAGGTCAGCTGCTCTTGCTCTGACCCAAAAGGAGATGAAGGGAGGACATCTGGTATTCAGAAATACAGAACAGCAGGCCGTGGCCTTTATCCAAAAGGGAAGCGTTGATTGTAAATCAGCCTCATTATGTCTGTATCTAAGGTTGTAGCAACCCTTCCACTCTGCCGGATGAACAGCCCTTTGTAAGTAGAAGCTTGCATATTCCTGCACCAGTAGAACTTGATCCAATAAAGCCCATTCACACAGACTACCCATCTTCTATTTCTTATTGTCTGGAATGAGAACAGCAGCAACAGTTTATGCAGCGCTGCAAAAGTTTCCCTTATGATTTCACATGACAAGCCCATCAGCTGTCACTTTCTGTAGAGACTTTGATGCCTCACTCTGTTAGTAATGTCTCAATAATCTTAAGACAATGCAGGGCTACCTCGGCTCACGACCAAATCGGTCGGGTCACGAACAAAAATTTCAGGAAAATTTTGACTTGGGTCGCGAACTCCGCACTGGGTGGCAGCCAAGATCGCAGCCATCTCCTCACCCCCCCCCCCGAGTGGGGAGATGGCCACGATCCCAGGTGCATTCGTGCAGGGAAGACGTGCGCGATCGCGGCTGTGCTGTGCTGTGCTGCGCCCGTCTTCCCTGCAGGAGTGCGCCCGTGCCAGGGTCTCTCTGAGAAGCGCCACCCCAACAGAACTGTAATGAACAGAGTGCTGAATCCAATGAACGATAACGTGGCCTCATTTCCGGAGGGTAATGCAGCGCAGGAAAAAACCAGTGACTGTAGACAGATTTTTCACCAACACTGACCCTGCAGCGGAGAGACACAGAAGAGAGGAAGCCCCTGACAGAGATCTCCCCAGCATCCTTATGGAGGGGGGCTCTCCCTCAGAACAATAACCCCCCCCCCACCTAGGTTAGGGTCCTCCACTGTACCGTACAGTGCTTTGTCGCTTTTCTGTTCTCTGCCATTTTGTTTCCATTTTTTCTGATTAAAAAAATAGTTACCGAACGGATTAACCTTATTTATATTGAACCTTATGGGGAAATTGGACTTGGGTCACAACCAATTTGGGTGACAACCAGAGTCATGGAATGGATTAAGTTTGTGAGCCAAGGTACCACTGTACATGTGCTCATTTTGTACAAAGCCTGTGTCCTTCCTAAACAAAAAATGCAATCGAAGGGGTGCTAAGCTTTTCCAATTAAGCAAGCGCTAAACCATTCAGAAGAGGCACAGCTGTCTGGAAAAAAAGCCATGCATTCTCTCTCCCTCTCTCTCAATCTCCCCCCCCCACCGCACCCCCTCTCTGAAGAAGTAGGCTGTCTTTAGAACTTACCTGCCTTGCTCAGAGTTCTGTGCACCAAGCAGAAGATTTGAAGGGGAAAGCGCATCTCCTCCATATGCACAAGGAGCTGTATGCATATAAACTCCCACCTCGGACTGCCCAGTGCAGAGAGGCCCGAATGATGAACTGGTGGGAATGGTGTTGTTGGGAACGGCCTGTTCGCAAAGCCTCTTGACATATTGATGGCGCAGTGGGAAGGAAGCCTAGACGTCCTCTCACAGGTTCCCTTATCTTTGTCCAGCTTCAGTAGCTGCTGCAAGTGGTGCCAGGGAAAACTCACATTGCCTGTCATGTGACTGCATTACTGGAGGCACTTTGAGTGAGCTCGACCATCTGCTCTGATTAAAAATGGGGCCTCTCAAATCAAGGTTTCAGAGGATTCCCTGAGCATGTAAAAAGTTTGTAAAGTATAACTGCTGCTGCTGCTGCTTTTATCATTATCATTATTATTATTATTATTATTGCTTCCACAATGTGCAAAATGTTAAGATATTAGTTGAGAGAAGGGGCAGGAAGCTGTGGATTAGGGAAACACGGAATTGGCATGCTCAAGCTCCTAGGAAATCATAGCACATTTCCTGCAAGGAAGAGATTGTGGGGGTACATTGCTATACGATTTAAACGAAGAAAACACATGTGAGCTATATGGGAGATGTTACAGGAAGAGGGGAAGAAAAAGGAGGGCCCTAGTTTCTCCTAATGTACACAACTGGGAAGGAAATTGCCTGATGTTCACATCCCCAAAATTGAAAACAATGGCACTGAACCTCGCCACTCGCCCCAAGACACAGAGGGTAGGAGAGCTCCTATCCCTCTCTATTAATAGTGTAGAAGAAGATGGTATGGACATACCCTATGTCTTGCATGGGTTGAAGAGCCTTTCTAGATGGTACCGAAAAGCAAATTCTGGCCTTCTAAAACTGCTTAAACAGGTAACTGTTTAACAAAACCAGGAATAATGTTGGGAGAAGAGCTCTTTTGAGGTCTTGGGTACAGACCATTCACAAACTTGTTACCAAGATCTCGTAGGAGTTCCCCAAACTGGACCATGGAATTAGCATGCAACACATCAGCTGTGCTACTAAAAATACGACTTGGCCCATGAAGAACTTAAGAAAAGCTATGCTGGATCAGACTAGCGGCCTGCCTAATCCAGCATTCTGTCCCCACAGTGGTCAACCAACCAGATGCCCCAGTGGGAAGCCCTGAGGCAGGACTCTCTCACCCACATTCCCTAGCGTCTGATGTAGATGGACACACTTCCTCTGTGCTGAAGGCTGCATGTACTAGCAGCTATCGAAAGCCTCCTCCTCCGTGCATTTGTCTAATCCCCTTTTAAGCCCGTCCAAGTGGCGGCCATCACCACATCCCCTTGTGTGAATTCCACACTTCCGCCTCATGCACCATATGGACAAAGTTCCCTTTCTCTGTTCGGAACCTCCTGTTATCCCACTTCATTGGATGATCCATGCTGCTGCTTTTAGTCTTCTGTTTTTCCCCACCATACGCCTACATCATGTGCCTCTTCACTCATTTTTTTCTCAGTTAAAAAGCCCGAAACCCTCGGGCTTTTCCTCTTAGCCTTTCCTCTTAGGGGAGCAGAACCATCCATCCAACGCTTGGCTGCATCATGGGCTCTGAGCCATCCTGGAGATCAGCTCCCCGGCTCAAGTGAAAGCACCCAGTTCCAGCCTGGCTTCAATCTGCAGCAGCTGCATGCTGCCAATGCACATTTGCACTGAGATGCAGGCACAGATGAGAGTTGTGCATCCACAGAGCCAGCGCAAGTCCCTCGCTTTTTTCCCCCCCGTGGCGGAAGTCTGACTTTAAAGCCGCTGGGTGGGAAGGTTTATCTCCCACCTACCCGTCCCGGTTGAGGCCCTACACACATCACAGAAGTAAACCCAGAACATCCACATGCTACACACTGGTGTTGTGTGGGTTTTGTTACATTTATAGCTTGTCTTTTTCATCAAGGAATCCAAGACAGTGGGCGTGGCCACTGTTGGGAAAATTTGGGTAAATCCTGTCTGAAAAGCATTACTCCTGTGTGCCTTTGCATTGTGGCATCAAATCCTGTCTTCCTTCTCAAAACCAAGCTGTCACTGTTTAAAATGGCATTCCTTATCCGTTGCCGCTTTTACTGACATTAATAGGAGCTGTTCATGCACTCGAATTTATTTTGAGGATGGCGTTAAGCACGCTAGCGAGCTTCTAAAACGCTCAGAATAAAAGCGGCAATGGATGAAGAGCCCCGCTGCCATAGTCCCCAGCACAGGAAAAGCCACGCGGCGGACCGAAACGAACTGCGCGTGCGCCAGCTGCACCGCATGACGCAGCCCCCGTATCCCCGGGCAACAGCCAGCCACCCTTCCTCTTTCCCCGCCTACCCTTTCCTTCCCTGACTTGGGTACCGGGCGGCTTCTGCGCGCTCGGTGTCTGCTGGGAAATGTAGTTCCTCTATCCTTCCTGCTGACCGAGCGTCGAGGGTAGGGCTGCCCTGCGTCGACTACAACTTCCAGAATGCAACGGGGCGAGGGAAACCTGGCCTGTCCCCGCAGGGCTTGGAGGCCTCTCCCGGCAGGAGCGCTCACGGCGCTCGGTGTCCGGACAGGTAAGGCAGCTGGAGGGATGGCGAGGCGCGGGCGAGGGACGCATCGCCTCACGACGCACGGTGGAACAGAGCGCTCCAGCCCGCTGACTTCGGCGTCAGTAAGCGGGGCGTCGCGGGGCTTGGACCTTGGGGCCGAACAGGGACGCGGGCCCACGGGACCAAAAGAGCAACAATCAAACCTTTGAAGTGCGCGCTTTTGCAGGTGCCGGCTGCATTTGCGCTAAAGGCTCTGTGTGCGTCTTGCCAGGAACCCGTCTGCTAAAGACGCCCCTGCTTGGAAAGATGCATGTCTGGACATTTCATTTGGGCAAGAAAACGGCTCAGACCGAAAGTTGCAAGCAGGGCAGGAGGATCAGAGGCATGGCCGGGCCAGAAGCCAGCTAAGCTCCGAGAACGGGCGGGATGAGTGTTATGAACGCTCTTTCCTTTCCGTCGGAAGAGAAAAATATTCCAGGCATGCAGAGAGTTCTTTTTAAAACTTTATTGCAATGAAGGGAACAGAAAGGAATGGTTTCCTTCCCATTCTTCTGTTCACCTGAGCACATGTTCACACACCCCTTTTGAACCCTGCTCCCGCCGCTTGTTCCCTCCTCCTTTCCCTAATTGGCTAATAGGGTACCGAGAGTGACACTCTTTCCGCCCACCTACTCCGTGCTGCCCCAACACCAGCCCTTCTTTCCAATCCAGCCCTGCCCCTGGTGGGCTGCAATAGACTCATTTTGCTCTGCCCAGCTTGTCAATAATCAGGAAGTATTTGGCCCTCCTGCCTACGTGCCTGTTTCTCCATACCTTGTGCTATTTGATTTGTGCCCTTCCCCTCCTTTGGGCTAAGTAATTTTCTTTGTTACCTTTTTAAATCTCTTTTACTCCCTTGTTTCAAATCATCCTTTCACACCTATCATGAGGGCTAACAAGACGGAGATGCTGCCTTTCGCCAGATGTGGGTGTTCCACCAGTCTAGATGGTCGCATTTGGGGCCCTTGAGAGGCTCAAAGGGGCTGCCACTGCACCAGGGATTCTGGCCACCAGGCGCTCGCCCGGGACTTCGGCTGCTCGCCTGTGCTAGTGTGGCCCTGGGGCATTGTGGGGAATTGCCCAGTCAGCCTGTTGTCTCTGCCTGTTGCCACCAAAATGCCAGGCAAGGGGAGCACCAACAGAGGAGGTGGCTGGCGGAGGTCACTTGGCCAAGGACTTCCCGAAGCTGATGCTTGTCCGACATGATTCAGCCTCGTCACCTGGTGGATCAGCATCATCACTTTTAAGCAGCCAGGGAGGGCTCTTGAATTTGATCTGGTGCCTAGAAAAAATGAGTGATCCTTGAAGAGTTCCTGCATTGCATGTGGGTTTGCAGAGGCAGCCCCTGATTCTGCCGTGCTGCCTTATTCTGCAGAGTTGTGGAAGGGCACAAGCAGGCTGTGCGAAGAGGGGACACTTACTCTCTTTTGCTGTGCCTAGTGAATTGCATATCTGTTGCCTTCTTCTGACCCTGTGCCTCTAGGTGTCCGTCTCTCTTTGCCTGCCGGAGCGACGGCTGTGCCAGACTTTGCAGCAGATGGGACCCAGGTGCCAATGCTTCCTGCTCTGGTCCATGCTGTTCCTGCTGCCTAGAAATTTAGCACTGCTAGAAACTGATGGAGGCTGGTGAGTAGGCATCTGCTAAAGGGCTGGTCAGTCAGTCTTCTGGCTTCTCCCTGGAAAGTCAATGCCCATGAATTACGCCACATTTGTGAAGGATCCCCCACTTCCCTGCCATGTTTTCACCACCACTGTAACCAGTGGCCAGTCCGTCCTTTTTCATCTCTTTGCCCCAGTGGTTCTGTATCTGTTATCTGGTCCCATATTGCTCCTGCACCTTCTGGAGGCTGCCAGCCACAGCTTAAGAGCCAAACTCCATTTGAATACTGGGCTTGACTTTGGGGGTATGTCTGTTTCATAGTAATGGTTCTGCACGATCAAGTTGTTTCCTTTTTGCAGGCAGCAGGTGGAGAGGTTAACCTGTCTGGACTGTACCACATCCAGCTGCAGGCAGGGACCCATAGCTTAGTTCATAAGCAAACAAACAAACAAACCATCTGCTCAGTTCATAAGAAGGTGCTAAGCAGGGCTCTTGCTTACCCCTTTGCATGATTTTTCTAGCTTCCCTTGTGCTGGGTAGTTGTTGAGGTGTGCGGAGTAGCATTTTATCACGTGGACGTCCCACTAGAGTTGGGAGTAGAACATCCCAGACGCATGGCAAACTATTTTGGCCTCAGTGGTTGTAGATCCTGCTTTGCAGAGGACAGTTCTCTGTCTGAAGGGCTTTCAAGTCCAAGTGCAGTTGAAAGAGAGAGAAACCATCAGCAAGGAAAACAGAACGTGGTCCTCATTTATTTATTTATATTTAGAATTTTTGTAGGATTTTTGGGCCTTGAAGTGGCCCAGCCACGCGTTGTGCATGGCAGCTGGCAGAGGAGGCAGAGAACTCCAGGCCCTGATTGCCAGGGCAGAAAGCCTGCATATCTGCAAATGGAAGAGCATATCTGGAGCAAGGTTCGTCCAGTCCAGCTTCAGTGCACACAGTGCCCAACCAGCCACTCACGGATCCAGCCCTCAGGACAGGATTGCCGGAGGGACCCCCAGTAACTGGTGCAGATGGGCACCCTGCCTCTGACATTGGAGGCAGCAGAGAGCCACCAGGACCGGTAGCCTTCTTCCCCCTGAATCCGCCCACTCCTCTTTTAAAGCCGTCGAAAGGGGTGGCCATCAGGGTGCGACATGGAAGCAAACGCCATGGTGAGAGCCAGTGTGGCCTAGTGGTTACAGTCTTTGACTGGGGACTTGGGAGATCCGGCCTCCAGTCCCCAATTTGCCATGAAGCTTGCTGGGTGACTTTGGGCCAGCCACTCACTCACAGCTTAACCTACCTCACAGGGCCATTGTTTTGAAGGTAAAAATGGAGTAGAGGAAAACTATGTAAATTGGGATTTGCTACTTGCAAGAGGGAAAAAAAGCCAGAATATAATTGCAATGTAGTAGTAGTAGTAGTAGTAGTAGTAGTAGTAGTAGTAATAATAATAATAATAATAATAATAATAGTTATGCTCTGTGTGAAAAGAATATTTCTTTTTACTTCCATTATCCTAAAAGGAGAAAAGTATCTCCCCATCTGCTTTTTGCACAGCATAACATACAGGATATTGCAGGAGTGAGCACACCCCTCACATTTTGTAAATATTTTATTATATCTTTTCACGTGACAACCCTGAAGAAATGACACTTTGCTACAATGTAAAGTAGTGAGTATACAGCTTGTATAACAGTGTAAATTTGCTGTTCCCTCAAACTAACTCAACACACAGCCATCAATGTCTAAACTGCTGGCAACAAGAGTGAGTACACCCCTAAGTGAAACTGTCCAAATTGGGCATTATTAGCCATTTTCCCTGCCTGGTGTCATGTGATTCGTTAGTATTACAAGGTCTCAGGTGTGAATGGGGAGCAGGCGTGTTAAATTTGGTGTTATCGCTCTCACTCTCATATACTGGTCACTGGAAGTTCAACAGGGCACCTCATGGCAAAGAACTCTCTGAGGATCTGAAAAAAAGAATTGTTGCTCTACATAAAGATGGCCTAGGCTATAAGAAGATTGCCAAGACCCTGAAACTGAGCTGCAGCATGGTGGCCAAGACCATGCAGCAGTTTCACAGGACAGGTTCCACTCAGAACAGGCCTCGCCATGGTCGACCAAAGAAGTTGAGTGCACGTGCTCAGCGTCATATCCAGAGGTTGGCTTTGGGAAACAGATGTATGAGTGCTGCCAGCATTGCTGCAGAAGTTGAAGGGGTGGTGGGTCAGCCTGTCCGTGCTCAGACCATACGCCGCACACTGCATCAAATTGGTCTGCAGGGCTGTCGTTCCAGAAGAAAGCCTCTTCTAAAGAGGACGCACAAGAAGGCCCGCAAACAGTTTGCTGAAGACAAGCAGACTAAGGACGTGGATTACTGGAACCGTGTCCTGTGGTCTGAGGAGACCAAGATAAACCTATTTGGTTCAGATGGTGTCTAGCGTGTGTGGCGACCACCAGGTGCGGAGTACAAAGACAAGTGTGTCTTGCCTACAGCCAAGCACGGTGGTGGGAGTGTCATGGTCTGGGGCTGCATGAGTGCTGCTGGCACTGGGGAGCCACAGTTCATTGAGGGAACCATGAATGCCAACTTGTACTGTGACATACTGAAGCAGAGCATGACCCCCTCCCTTTGGAGGCTGGGCCGCAGTATTCCAACATGATAATGACCCCAAACCTCCAAGATGACCACTGCCTTGCTAAAGAAGCTGAGGGTAAAGGTGATGGACTGGCCAAGCATGTCTCCAGACCTAAACCCTCTCGAGCATCGGTGGGGCATCCTAAAACGGAAGGTGGAGGAGTGCAAGGTCTCTAACATCCACCAGCTCCGTGATGTCGTTATGGAGGAGTGGAAGAGGACTCCCGTGGCAACCTGTGAAGCTCTGGTGAACGCCATGCCCAAGAGGCAGTGCTGGAAAATAATGGTGGCCACATAAAATATTGACACTTTGGGCACAATTTGGACAGTTTCACTTAGGGGTGTACTCACTTTTGTTGCCAGCGGTTTAGACATTGATGGCTGAGTGTTGAGTTATTTTGAGGGGACAACAAATTTACACTGTTATACAAGCTGTATACTCACAACTTTACATTGTGGCAAAGTGTCATTTCTTCAGGGTTGTCACATGAAAAGATATAGTAAAATATTTACAAAATGTGAGGGGTGTGCTCACTTCTGTGATATACTGTAGTTTTCTATGCCTCTGTCTTCTCTCCCCTTCCTTGCCTTTTTCCTATTGAACTTGCAACAGTTCTTTCCAGGTTTGCCTCAAGATGTATAACCTGGCGCCTGCCATGCCCCTTTCTGCGGATCCTCTTCCGTGGCGTTGGGGAAGTGGCCAAGCGACGGGGCACTGCAGGCTTGCGGTTCCGAAGTGCGTTTCTGAACCCTCCGCACTGGTGCCCCGCTGTTCTGAGGCCGGCCTCTGTTTCCTTCCGCTCCTCAGGCTGACGCAGAGACACCCGGCCCTGCCGGAGGGAGACAGCTGCACGGTGGAGCGGCGGGATGCCTCTCTCACCTACTCTCAGTTCCTTCAGCGGTAGGTCTTGGTCACCGCAATGGGCAGGATGTGCGGACTGGGCAGCCACCGTGGAGTGCGGATGCCCGGACAGTCTCTCCCTTATTCTGCATGCACAAGCTCACCGCTTTAAAGCACGTTCTTCTTTTACATTCCACTACTTTAATCAGCCCCCCTCATATCCTTACCCCCACATAAAAGAAACTGCAAGTGGCTGAAGTCATAAAATATATGTAATGAGAACGCCAGACCCGTCACGTGCAATAAGCAGCCATTTGAAAATGCGGATTAAAAAGAAAGCAATCGCAGTCACCAGAAGCAGCAGTCCAGAGCAGCCCCTACACAAACCAAACGAAGGTGCGGGAGGGAGTTTGGAGGTTTGGGGGTCCGCGGAAGGAGCTGTGTGGGTTTTTATGTGCATGAAGGGAGCTAACGGGAGGGATGTGTCTGCGCCCGCCTTGATTTGGTGATGACCCCGTGTGAGAGAGATGAGGAGGAGAGATGAGCTAACCTGGAACGCAGGGGAGGGAAGAGTTTTCATCTTCTGAAATACATTTCAGATTTGAGCTACGGGTTCAAAGAAGAGCTCAGACCGCCCCTCTGCCTTGGACTCAGCCTTTGGGGCAGCCGATTTGCCCTTTGTGCCAGGGCAGTTTTTAAGCTTGTCAGATATGCTCAGACTGGTCCAGGGAGCTGGTGTGTCCCTGGCCCTGCTGCCGCTCGGCCCGTGGGGAAGGCAAGACACCTGCGGCAGGAACAAGCGCATCCTTCTTCCCTTTTTGCCCCTCTCTCCTCTCTCCTTCCCTCCACCACATTTTGAACGGTGAGATCCTTGGGGCAGAGACCTTTCCCTTTAGTTTGTGCCGCTCAAGGCACCCTCAATGCACTGTGCTACCCTTAGCTAGTAGCTGGTACTCCTTGTGGATCTCGGGGAGGGCCGACATGCCCTGGGGAAAGGCACGTGCCACCCCCCCCCCCCCCCCGCTGCAGAAGACTGGGGCTCAGTCCAGCCCAGCGCTCTGCCGCGGCCCCTTTGGCAGTGTGCTGGGTAGGTTGGTGCCCTGTCTGTGCAGAGCGCACGGACCCCGACCATGTGCCCGGGCCTGGCTGAGGGCCGACTGCTCTGCGTGGCAGCCCTCTGCTCGTGCTCTCCCCTTGCTGCTCTGCCTGTTTGGCAAAGGAGGATGGACGAAGACGAGTTACGGAAGCGTGGGGATCACTGGCTAGCAGAAGGTTGTATTTAAGCTTGTTATTCCGTCCGTAGCACCTTCAGCGAGGAGTCAAGGCTCAGGGAGCAGGACGGACTCGGCCTGAAGGGGCTCCCATGTTCATTCCCCGGCCTCTCTGGTGAAAAGAAGTTGCGACTGCCGGGCGAAGAAGGCCTCCACCAGAGGCTTCTGTGCGGGAAAGTCTGAGGGGGTGTTAGAAGGACCCTTGTGTGGGAACCGATTTGCTTGACATAAAGGCTCTTAGTGGAAGGGCCGTGCAGGATTAGACCCAGGCTCGACCCGGGGCAGCATGCTGCTCCCAGAGCAGCCGGCCAGGGGCACCCGAGCAGCCCACAGCTGGGGCGGGAGAGCATCCCAGCCGCATGGGGTGGACTCCCACTCCCAGCTCAGGTCTGGGAATCTGCGCTCCCCTGTGGCGCCCACCCGCAGTTGCTTTTAAAGGAGCTCGCTTGTCCAGGGCGCTCGGCACGTCCCAAACCTTGCACAGGTTGGACTTGGAGACAGGCCTGGTTTGTTTGAGCCCCCACTCGCTGGGGCTCCTGCCACCCGCGAGTGGCTTTTCCCACCCCGGAGCCCTCCAGATGTTCAAGACGTCCTCCTTCATCGGCCCCCACTAGCCAGGGGGTGCTCAGGAATGCTTGGAGTTGCAGTCCAGACTTCTGGAGGGCACCGGGATGGAGGAAGGCTGGCCCCAGTTTACAGAGACAACCCCAAAGCGGGGGAAAGGGAAGGGCGGGTGATGCAGGTCCGGCCCCGGGGGCCTCTCCACATGAGCCCCACGGCTTGGACACAAGTGTCAGCCCTTCCCTTCTGTGCCAGAAAGGCTACATGAGGATAACGGGTGGGTGAATTTTAATTCCACAGCATGGTCCTCTTGTTTTGGAAACTTGATAGATTTCGTAAATTGTCGTGCTTATTGTCTCATGTAGCTGGTTTTATTTTGTTCTGGTTTAAATGTTTGTGCTTTGTTTTATATTGTGTTTTAATGAATCTCGTATCTTTTATTAATGTATCTTGTATTTTAGTTGTTGTAAACTGCCTGAGAGCCTTTTATGGCTAACTGGCAGCGTAGAAATTTAACATCCTCGTAATGATAGTAACAATAATACGTGCTGGGGCCTAGAGGTCGTCCTGCAGAGAGCAGCAGGGGGTGCAGAGCGCACAACCCCAGAGGGCTGCAGTCAGAAATGTCCGTTGCCGGCGAACGCGTAACGCTGCAGATTGCGCTTCATTTCCCAGGTATGCCTTCTCTCGGCCTGTGATACTCCGAGGGATAACAGACAACTCGGTGAGTGTCCCCCTGGAACAGATACGTGAGGAAGATGGAACGAGGCCTACCCAGTCGCACAGGGGGCCCCGTGGCCTCTGTCACAGGCCATACGTGATCACGGAAAGGTACCCCTTGCGGTGCTTCTGAGGATTCTGGGGGGCCCTCCCTGGCTGTGCAGTGCAGCCGCCTGGTCTAACGCTCTCCTGCACCCTGGGAGGGTTGCCCAAATCCTGAGCGGTTTGGCAGTGGAACATTGGTAACAACCATCCTGGACTGGACTGTGGGCGCCAGATGGGAACCCTGCGCAGTGTGAGACGGCTGCGTGCAAAGAATTCCCCGAGTGCCGGAGGGAAGCACCTGAGGGCCTGCTCTTCCCTCCCACCTGTGCGTGCAGGGAGTGCATTAAAGGGGGAAGCAGTCCAATATGCAGACCCCTGCCCCGGCTCTGCCCCCCGAAGTGAGTGCTCCAGGGAGGCAGCAGAAGTGGATCGCGTTGGCTGCACTGAATCTGCCCTATGCTGGGGGGTCGGGCTGGGACATGCCAGTGACCTCCCTCAGTCCAAGGGTGGCACTCTGTGCTGGGTGCTCAGCCGCTCAGCTCTGGGCCCGTGTCGACCCAAAGCTACGAGCGGCGGCTCTGAATGAAGGAAGGTGGATCTTGCCAAGTTGTTCAGCAGGGTGTGGGGTGTGGAGAGCACCTCTTGCAGAAGCGGCCCCTCCTGCCCTGCAACGGGGCCCTGAAAGCAGCATTTCCCTTGCTCCCCCTGCCCCCCCCCCCATTCCATGCAGGGAGCAGAGCTCAGGAGGGAAGCACGGCCAGCGGCCCCGGACGCTGGGGGCTGCAGCCCCCAGGCAGCGGGGGACGCCGAGGCCAGGCTGCGTGTGGGGCGGCCGGGAGCCCGGCCAGGGCGACAGGTGGCCGCGCTCCTGGCCAGGCCGGGGGGGGGGCGGCCAACGGGGGCCCCTCTCAACAGCCTGTTCTGTCCTGCAGGAGTTCCAGGCTCAGTGCACCAAGCGCAAGCTGCTCGCCGCCTTCGGGGACCGGCAGGTCCGTCTCAGCACCGCGAACACCTACTCGTACCGCAAAGGTGAGGCGCAGAGGGCCCCAGGATGCCTTTCCTGGCCAGGACCAGAAGCAGGTGCGGGGAAGACCCATTTGCTGGTCCACACCTGCTCTAACACGTAGCAGGTGCAGCCCCTTTCAGCTGTCTTACACTGCCCGTGCTTGCAGCGCCTGGGCCCACAAGGTGGCTGAGGTGCTTCCTAATGCGGTCGATTATTGTTGATCATTAAGGCTGAGATCCCATTTAAGGGGCCCCCAAAAGCTGTGTGGGTGGGAGAGAGCTCTGGTGGCTCGGACGGAAAGGCTCTCCTGACCAGCCTCCTGCTTTTGCAGGATGCCCTGTGGGAAGCCCGCACCAGGGCGTCCTGCTGGGTACCATGTTGAATGGTACCCTCCCACCCATTTTCCCCAGCAACTGGGGCACATAGGTGCACTGGCTCTGATACAGGAGCTTGCATCTGATACAGGAGCATTCCTCCCTTGAATTTCTCCAGTCCCTCCTTAAAGCCACCCGAAGGGCAGCAGGTACCAGACAACACACCCTTGTCCACACACACCCCCTCACTCACTTCCCCAGGGGAGGGGGGTTCTTGATCCCCATTCTCCTCCTGGAGATTCCTAGTCACACCTTCTCTGCAGACCTGGTTGCGGACACCTGGTGGATCGCACTAAAGCAAAAGGCCTGGTGGATCAGCCTTTCCACGTGGATGTAATGGATGTGCAAGGGCTTCAAAAACAATGTTTTAAAAAGGGTTGCACAAGGGGTGCAGGCGTTGCCCCACTTCTGGTTTCAGAAACTTTTTCTTCTCCTTTCTTTCACTTGGTATCTTGTTGGCTGGACTAGAAGCAGCTTGGAATCTGGTGTCCTGGCATGATTTTGATGGTTGGAATGTGATTAGAATGGGCAGCAATGATGGGCTGTGTAGAAAAAGCTACTCAAGGGAGGCTTTTTCAAAATAGCATTATTTTCAATGGTATTTTACCCCTATATTAGGGTTAGGCCAGTGGTGGCGAACCCATGGCACACGTGTCACGGCGGGCACGCAGAGCCCTCTCTGTCGGCATGCAAGCCAAGTTGCCCCAGGATTGCCCCAGCAGCCGAGCATCGGATACCAGCGCACATAGGGGCCATGCGCATGCTCGGAAAGGAGTAGTGGCGCCAGGCATTGACGTCACGAGCCGTGGCTCATTAGTCACGACTCGTCTGAGCTTTCGCATGGCTGGTCAGTGCACTGCCAAGGTTAAATATATATATATTTGCTTGGGCCAGTTTTCAGGTTTTATTGCAGTGTTAGCACTTTGTGATAAATAAGTGGGTTTTGGGTTGCAGTTTGGGCACTCGGTCTCTAAAAGGTTTGCCATCACTGCTCTAGCACGACTCTCTCCTGGCTTGCAAGGTACTGGCAGTGATCTCAAGCTCTCTGCTAAGAACATCTTGGTCCCGCCAGGCCGGATGGCTGCCACTGCAGCAGCTGCTGGGCCAGGGAATGACTCGGACGGGAGGCACAGCTGCGGGCCATCAGAAGGCCTTCAGTAGTGAAGAAGGTAGCTGACAGCACCGCTTGGCCCCTGGGCCCTGCGGTCTCCCATCGGTCCCTTTGCCTCGTTGCAGTTGACCTGCCCTTCCAGGAGTACGTGGACCAGTTCCTAGAGCCACAGGACCCGGATTCGCTGGGGAGCGGTGAGTGGGGCCGGCAGTGCCCAGAGCGGCTTCGTCCTTCTATGAAGTGCAGAACTTACTCCCGCCAGAAAGCCCATTTCTTTATCTCAGAGTCCCGGAACGCCAGGTTGCAGTGGCAGCTCAAGGCCCAAACACCATGGAGCTTGGAGGGGCCGTTTCTCACTTTTGGAGTCCGGGCAAACGGCACACGAGCGGGAAGCCACCAAACCCTCTGTGGGCAGGAAGGGGGGGGGCTGGGGAGAGGGCATGTGGCCATCTGGGAATCCCGGGGAGGAGCTGGATCAGGACCCAAGCCCACCAGCTTCACTCATTGGTTGAGGGCCGCTCCCCACGTTATACGAAACCGGGGCCGGCTGCTCTTCGTTGCTCAGCCAGTGAAGCGGGGCCTTCTCGGCTCTGGAAGGACTGACTGCTTTGCCTTCTTGCCCTCAGAAACACTCTACTTCTTTGGGAACAACAACTTCACCGAGTGGGGCCCTCTCTTCCAGAGATACACCCCGCCACCATTCCGGATCCCTGGCATGACTGTAGCGTACAGCTTTGGGATTGCTGGTGAGTAACCAGGAAGTTTGCAGAAACAGGCAGGCTGGAGGCGGCGTCACTGCCGGAGCCTGGAGGAAGCCGTCAGGCCAAGTCCCGGGCTCCCTCGGGCCCAGGTGCCGGTCCACGCGCAGCGGGAGCTCTGCGTTCTGCGCTGCCTGGGGCGACGGAAGGCTCTGGACCTTGCCGTCTCGCAGAGCCAGGTGTGCAGAGGTGCGGGACCCTCCAGCCCGAGGGCCCCCTCGGATATCCGCCAGCGGGCCATGCCTGTGCGCACTCGTTGGGGCACATTGGCTTACCACTCCGTGCACACCCATCTTCCACCCCACACATGCAGACGCTTTCCCCAGACCTTCAGTTTTCCCCTGCTGGTGCCCACAAGGGGAGCCGTTGGCTGGTCTCTGATCACTCCTTGGGCTTCCCTGGTTATCGTATTACTGACACCCGCAAGGGGAGCAAGACCCCCCACACTGTTGCTGTTAACATTTGTATACTGCCTGCAGCCGAAGATCTCTGGGCGGTTAATAACAATAATCACAGACTCTTATGCCCAAGTCACCCATCCAGACTCTGGCCAGGCCTGACTCTGCTTTGCTTGCAAGATTAGGCAGGATCAGGCCCTTCAGGCTATATGGCAAATATAGTGCTAACTATGAACTAGTGCCGAGGAGGGAAATTCTGGGCGAGATAAATGCCGAATTATGACGCCTGTTGGTTTGGACCTTGGATCCCGGCCTGTTGATATGTTGGCAGCATTCTTTTGCTTGAGCTAACCATACACAGTCAGTTGTTGCTGCCACCACATTTATAAGCTCCGTTTTAATTCATGTGAGGAGCTCAGTGTTGGTCTCACGGCAACGGCCCTGTGAGGCGGGCGAGGCTGAGAGTTCACGACTGGCTGAAAGCCACTTGGTGAGCTCGGGGTCGAAGGGGGACTGCTCCGCACCATCCCCTTAATCCCAGCCCAAGCACCTATCTGCCACTCTGGCCAAGGCTGACTCTGCAGCAGTAGCAGCTGAAGCGGTCGCTGGTTCCGTATTCCACCCCCGTGCCCTGGGTAGCCACAGCTCTTCGGGCAGTGCTGAGCACTGAGCAAAGTCCAGTCGAAGCACAACTAGAATCTGAATGCGGGTCTCTTGCCAGCCGCCACCTCAGTGTGTCGAGCAGAAATGTCGGAATGGTCTTGCGGATAGTAAGGTGGAGCTGCCCTTGGAGGCATCTAGCCTGGGCGCAAGTGGGCCACAGGGCCCAGAGCCTTCTGGGCCAGTCACCCGGCCCTGTGGAGCAGCAGGGGCCCACGTGGCTGCCCCCTACCCCTCTCCCTTGCCCATTTGCAGGCTCCGGCTCCGGGGTGCCCTTCCACTGGCACGGCCCTGGCTTCTCGGAGGTGATCTTCGGCAGGAAGGTGAGTGCCGCAGGTGACACGGTTCATCCACCCCTTCCATGGCACTGCTATGCCCCGGGACCCTACCGCTCTCCAGGTCCCCTCCTGGGTCGTGCTCAAGGGAGGGGTCCTGAGCCCCACGCCCTGAGGCAAGCAAGCCTCTCAGCAGAGGCCCACTTGCCTTCTGTGCCCAGCACAAGCACAGCAGCTAGGGCATGGTGATGGTTACTTTTGGGAATCGGCCGCAGTCCCCAACCCAGCCCCCTCCTTTCCCCACTCAGTGGCACACCCCTTTACTCCCCGTCTAAGCTCAGGGCTAACCCTAAAATGCAGTATAAAGGCTTCATACTGCAGTACAAAAGCAAGCTAAAAACTACTGTGAAACCGGTACAGCAGCGATTCAAAGAGTTAAAGTAGCGGGTGTGAACCAAGAGAAGCATAAAGATGAAAATGGCCGATGCTGAAGGAGTACAGTGCACAGGCCAGATGAGACTCTCTGGGTAGCTTCTTCCGCAGCTGTGATGCTCCCACAGGAAAGGCCCTCTTCTCAGTTCCAGCCCACTTCAGTTCCTTTGGCAGGCGCTCCCAGGAAAGGACCTCTGGAAATGGTCTTAGAATCTGTGCAGGTATATAAGGGAGGAGACGATTGTTCAGATCACCTGGCCCCACCTGCCGAGGGCTTTGAAGGCTGCCAGCCTGGGAATGTACTAACAGCCAGTGCACATGGAAAATGGCTGCCAAATAGGGTGACGGTTGGCCAGTGACCCTTAACACGTCCCCTGCTCACTTTCGGACCAGCTGAAAGGCCCAGTGCGCAGCCAACATGTTGCAGGTTTGCAGAGTTTTGCTAGCTTATCTCTGGGGGGCGGGGGGGGGGCAGATGGGTGTATTGGGTTCCGCCGATATTGCTACAGGCAGCACAAAGGGATTCCGACTTTACTCATTTCATGAATTGCTAAAAGCAACGTTAAGCAAATGATTTATCATGGCTGACCACATTCCCCACCTATAAACTGGAAGCGTCCATGAATCGCTTTTGATCAGGTGCCCTTGTACAGCTCCGCTGTCTTGTTTGAGTTGGGTAGTCATAGCCCCGATCAGTAGCAACATAAACACAGATTTGTACATGCACGCTCATTATGTGTGTCTGTGTGTGAGGCACCCCCGGCCTTTTGTGCCGAGTTCTGTGCCTCCCAGCCTGCGATATTTCATGCTCATGCTTCGGGTTGGAAGCCCCTTGGGCACGAGGGCAAAACGGCCCCACAAGGCCAGTGCTAGGATCCTGTGTTGCAACAGAGGTGGGGGAAAGGAGGTCGGCTCAGGCTTCGTACCTGCCGAGCCCATCTGATCTCTGCAGCGCTGGTTTCTGTATCCCCCGGAGAAGACGCCAGAGTTCCACCCCAACAGAACCACGCTGTCCTGGCTGCTGCATACCTACCCGTTGCTGCCACCCTGGGAGCGGCCCGTGGAATGCACCATCCACCCCGGAGAAGTGAGTCCACCCACCGCAGCGTCGCTGCTCGCCTGCCTGCCCTCGTTTTCTGAGTTGTTGCACAACCTCTCCCATCATGGTGGCCGGGGCTGACCAGAGGGGAAGAACAAGGATGGGTTCCCTGCGCCTTTGAGAATGATCAGAAGAGTGAAATGCACCTGCCCAAGGGCGCTCTTCTGCACAAGCATTACTGCTGCAGAGATCCCCCTGCCCCACCATCATACCCACAGCCGGAGAAGGAAAGCAGCATGCTGATCATCCAGGGAAAAGGTGTTGTGGTCATTTCCATCCCCTGGAATTTCAGGACTCGAAGTCCCCGGATAGCAGGCTGGAGAAGGGGCGGCACACAGGCGGTGAGCTGCGCAGGAGACGGAGGAGGCGCTCCTCAGCGGCTGCCCTCACTGGGCCGGGTTCCTCCTCCCGTTTCTCTGTAGTGGCTCCAGCTGGTTGCCTGCCCTGCTGTGGGGACACCCAGGAAAGGAACGGGGGTGGCCGCCGGGAACAGCTTTGCAGCAGAGAAGTTTCAGCTGTGTGTCCAGTGGGCTGGGCCTGGAGTTAGAGATCATACTGGGACTCAACCAGCGGAAATCCGTGGGATCTAACTTCACCAAAGCATGGCATCTCTGACCCTCTCCCTACAGGGTGGGCAGAGTGGATTTCCAGAGGTTGTGGGGTTCCAGCTCCCAACATTCCTGTCCATTGGCCATGGTGGCAGGGGCTTCTGGGAACTGGAGTTGCAAACCTCTTGGTCTCCTTTGTTCCTTTCTTTTAGGTCCTGTACTTCCCAGATCGCTGGTGGCATGCTACCCTCAATTTGGACACTAGTGTTTTTATCTCCACATTCCTGGGTTAGCAGTTCTGTGTGGTGCCTTCTCCTCAGAATTCCTGCCATTCAACGTGCGACTGCGTACAAAGAAACTGGATTTCTTTTCACAAGCAGATGTCTGCGGCCAGCCTAGCCCTGATGGAGCTGTCTCAGTCTCTTGTAAGCATATCCTAAAATTAGGGGAGAAGGCGAGTCACCCTCTGCCGGTGGGCCTCTGGCCGTTTTGATGGAGAGGCGTACCGTTCCCTGGCATTCAGAACAGACCTTGATCCACACTTAATGTAGGTTTGTTACAGCCGAAGTGAAAAGACCCAGAGGGTGCACTCCCGCTGTGGCAGTAGAAATGCAAAGCTGGTTGGTGGCCACCCTGGCCATTTTGCGGCAGGCTTCACTCTCTGCCCGGTGTCTTAAGTGGTGAGGCTGGTGTGATCTGCACCGGTTAAGGCGCTGTCCTTTGACCCGCACAGCCTGCCTCTCCTGGACGCCTATTCCGTGCACGTGCTTGTTCCACCTGCTTTTCAGATGCTTGGCAAAGACCTGGGCCTGCACCAGGTTCATAATTTGACCCTTGAAAAAGCACTCCAGGTGGTGATTGGGAAACGCACCCCTTAATTACTGCTGCTGCTCACCCAGAATTATAGCTGCCTCACTTCCCAGAGGGGCATCTGCAGGGACGAAGGCAAGATCTTCCCGGGCTGCCGGTGGCCATTCTGCAAAAACAGCTCACCCTTTAGGAACAGCGACAAACCTGGGTTTGCATACCAGGAAGGGCACCCAGCTTCCTTCCACATCAAGTATGTTGATGAAAGAGTTGAGAACTGGAGAGGCTGCTCTTTGGGTGGAAATAAGCTGTCTGTTTACAAGTTATCACTTGTTAGTAAGGCTTGTGGCTGGCTGCGACATGCCCGTTTTCATCTGGGGTTGGCAGCTTTGCAACAGGCCCTGCGCCTGGCCTGGCCTGGCATGTGGCTGTGTGCAATTGTTGCTGTCTTGTGTGTGCAGTCACTCCTCCTCCATGTCTCCTTCTGCCAAATTCACTAGCTCCATTTTGGAAACCAGGCCCACCTGAGACATAGCAGAGCCTGTTCATCAAAACGCTAGTGGCCAAGATGCTCATCTTTAAACCAAAGCCCGATTTTACATTTCCTTCCTCTGGGTCCATCCACCTTGCCCATCCCGTCTTGCCCTGCAGGCTCAGTTTCATGTCCAAGCATTCATGGAACCATCCTACGGATGCTAATGGAATAGCCATACCCAAGCGCATGACGAAGGGTGGGCCAGGGGGTCTCCCCCACCTTTTCGCTGGGCCGGTTCCAAGGCTGTGGGAGGAAGCCGCTTTGGGTCCTGCTGACCCAAGACCTCCCTCGATCGACCCTCTGCCCCCAGCGGGCAAGCAGCCGCTTCCAGTAAGGCTGCCCCTCTCCCCACCTGCTGAGAAGAATATGGGCCCAACTCCTCTGCCTCCTGGGACACCTCTCAGGGACTATACGATTCTGCACTTGCGGTGAGGTTTTTCAAGCCCCACTCATTTTGCTCCTAGCCCTTCTTGGATTGCCAAGCTCCAAGCCAGCCAGAAAAGATAGAGCAAAGGCGTCTGCTGTCTCAATGAGACACTTGTCGGGTAGAGTAGAAGCTGCATCCCCGGTCTGCTGAGAACAGCGCTGGGAGCAAGAGCTTGCAAGGTGAGCATGAGCCGCAAGGTCTCAGGCGGTCACGTTTCATGGCGGTGGTCAGGGCTCGAGTCTGACGGGAAGATACACGCAGGGGACCAGAAAAGCAGAACGGGACCAGTTTCTAGGCGCTGTTTGGAATGCAGGCCCTAGGCCACACTTGGTTGTAGCTGTACTGTTACTCACAATAGATATTAATTTTTGAATTAAAATTTATTTAAAGAAAAACTCGTGTAAAGTGGCTGTCATTAGCAGAACTATCTTAGCAGTTTGGGGCAGGAAAAGATGCATACAATAAATCAAAGTTGCACTGCATACTAAAGGGCAGGCTAGCAGTCCGGGCCTGCATCAGCACATAGAAAGAGGCCCTTCTCCCTGATTTCGATCAATGCATTCTCCTTTGTGAGCGAGGCAACCCAGAAACAGGCGCTCACTGAAGTGCAACACGCGTGGCTGGAGGCCAGGCTGGGGACACTCCGCGCAAACGGAAACCTCACCCCCCCGACTGGAACCACATGGAGCAGCAGGCTTGGGGGGAATGACGAGGTTCAGAGAACGTTTTAAAAACCCTCACCCAAACTCTCCCTCTCTCTCTGGTCAGTCTGCTCCCCGATCCAGCCCACTGAGGACTGAGCACGTCAAAGGGACACTGATAATGACCATTGTGCGGGGAGGAAAGAAAAGAGCGTGCTGGGAAAGGGCAGGGCTGGCACCCCGCGTGCCGTGCTGCAACACTTTGCTGTGGGTCTCACTTGTGAGAATGCTGCGATACTCCTGTGCCTAAGCAGGAAAAGCAGTGAGCAAGCTGACAAATGAGTCAATAAATGTGGAAAAAGTAGGCGATTCCCACCATGCTAATAAACCGACGGAGGCTTCATCCCGCTGGCCGCCTTCAGCAGCCATGAATTTGCCAGGCTTCCGCAGACATTTACCAGCATGGCTGAAACTGCAGAGAAGCCAAATGGCTCACGTGCCATTTCTTTTTCTTCTGAAGAGCAAATACCTGCACAGCCAAAAAATACTTCAAAACATTCCACTGTTATTAAAGGGGGAGGTTTTAATTTAAAAAAAAAAAAGCCAACTTTCATTGAGTGGTTTGATGGGTGAAACAACTACCGGAAGGGAGCTGAGGTGCAGCTTTTCCCCGCTCCACAAATGCACACACAGAGGAGACCTGCTTACCCCAAATGAGCCTGAATTCCAGTCAACATCTGCAGAAGAATAATTTCATTGTGCCCTTTTCACACACAAACCCCCCCAAATGAGTGGCTATTTATTTACAAAGGAAACAGGCCAAAAACAACCAAACAGATAATCTGGGCAGATGCAAGGATGAAAGGCGCAAACAAGGACGTTTGCGCAGAGGAGGCAGCGGGCAAGAAGTGCCTGTTTGGCGGTTAGCTGAGACCGGGGGCGAGGGGGCCCGGCCTTTCCGGTTCTTCTCACGCCACAGAGGCCAGGCCCCACGTCAGGACCGGAGTCAGGCAGCGGCTAAGGGAAAATGAAGGGCACGGTGTGGAAGGTTGGGGTGGCTTGAGAGCCAGAGTCGTCGTCTCTTGGGGGCTGCTGGGGCTTCTGGAGGGCCTCCAGGCCTAAGCCAGCCCTTCACAACTTTCCAAAAAGGCATAGCTGTAGACTTTCCTTCTCGCCTCGCTTCTCGAATGTGGCCAGGCTTTCTCCACCTTCCTGAGACCAGGGCCGGGACCTCGCCTCCACCCACCTTCCGGGACCCGCACTTCCACCCGGAAGCAGACCGACACGAGGAGTCGGGGGGGCTCTGCATCCCCGGCCCGCTGGGGAGCCAAGGAGCCCTAACTTAGCTAACGGAGCCCTGGCTCTGGTGCAGGAGAGAGACAGACAGACAGACAGTGAGTAAGGCATGGTGCTGGCCCGGCAAGCTCAGAGAGTGGTCCATGGCAGTCCAGGTGTGCCTTCGCCCGCCACAGCTGGGAGCTCTGCACAACTGCAGGCTCGGCCCACACCTGGATTTGTCGTCAGTAATCTTCCACCCAGCCGTTTTCAGATATGAACGCATCTATGACCTCTTTCATGGCAAGGTTGGGGATCAGCTGGTCTTGGGTCAATGGGCTCCGGGTCACAGGGTCAAAGTGGCCGACACGCTAAGGAGAGAAGGGAGGAGAGCGCGTGAGGCTGGGCGGATGCTGACCGAGCCGAGAATCGGAGCCCCACTGGCATCCTGGACCCAAGGAACGTGGCCAGGTTTGCTGCCTGCCACGCCACGTTTCCCGCCTCTCCGGAACACCCAAAGACTGCACCCGCTCGCTCCTCTGAATAATAGGAAAAACAGCAAAAGCACTCAAAGGGTTTTAATTTCTGGATCTGCCAAAAGGATGAAAGTCTGGATAAAAGCAGGGAGAGAGCAGACTGGCGCTGAGAAGGGAAGCCAAACCGTTCTCTCTCTTTCTTCCTCAGAGGCTGGGGTGCCGTTTTCAGAAACGGGAAGGCACTCCTCAAGCCCCGAGGGGCTGGCCAGCAGCACTCTCGGTCCTGGGAATGCCTCCAGGCAGGTGGGAAGAGGCCACTGCGCCAAGGGGGCAGCCACCGAGAACGGCGTTTCCACAAGCCCCTCAAGAGCACGCATTCTAGGAGAGCAGAAATGGCGCCCGCCAACCTGGCAGAGCTCTGAGAAGCTGCCGTGTGCTCCGCGTGCCCCCTTGAAGCCCACCCTCCTCATCACTAGAGCGCTCGTTCTGCAGCAAAGTGGAATGGCAAGAGTCTGTCTTGCTTTCTCGTACAGAACCAGGCGGCATCAATGGCCAGGTAGATTCAAGGCAGAGCTCAGGAAGGGCTTCTTCACTCCTGTGAGAACTTAAATGTCGCGAAAGACACCTCTTGACACCTCTGCACTGTACTAAGTGGCCTGTTTTGCATGGCATGTGTTGAAAGAGGGGGTGGAAGAGGCTGTTATTCTTGGCACACCCTCCAGGGCCAGGGTGCCACCAGCCCTCCAGATGAGGACGGAGAGGGACGGGAAAGGAGGTCTGTGGACACAGAAAGGCAGAGGAGGGAGAGCCTGTCTTGAGGCCGCCGTCTCCAGGTGTCCAGGCACACCTGGGGAACAGACCGGGTTCAGCAGTGCTGGGAGGGGGCCTGGGAGAGGAACAGGAGGCGCTGGTCACGTCCGTGAAACAGCAGTGGGAGAGAAGGGCTGGCCAGCTGCGGAGGGCCTGTGCGGATCTAGGAGGCTTGCCCCTCTCCAGAGATGCACAGCCAGAGGGGTGGGGAACAGGTGTACTGCAGAGGAGTGATCTCGGAAGCAGTCTTCAGTCTGGGTTCAACCAATCACTCTGGCTCAAGCACAGGGACCCATCAGCTGGTGGCGACAGTTGGCTAGCCACATGCTGAAAATAAAAGGCTCTTATGCAAAAAGACACTCTGCTGTTTGAAAGGAATGCAGAGAAACCTGACAGCATGTTATCTCTGCTACAATATCCAACACCCATTCAGTAAATTATATGCAAACATTTCTAGACTTTCCTCAAAGTACATTATGTGTGATTATCTTAATTATTGCAACAGTTAGCACAGAACTGGACCAGTGTCTCCCGTTTCTTACATTTTGTGTAAGCGAGTCTCATCTTTAATTTTCATTTCTATTTACTTCCTTTGATTTTGCAAGTCACAGGAAGGGGGCAGGGAAGGTTCCAGCCAGGCTGCTGATTCGTTCCCCTATCTGGGTGGGGGCAATATGCGGCCATGGGCAGCAGGGTTCTTCCTGCAACTGATGACATTTTTTTTTAATTTTTGGGGGGAGGGTGTCTGCACTGGCTGCGGAGTACCAAAGAGGTAGACATTTGCGTGTCTGCAAAGTCAATCTCACGCCTTTACAAGACTGCAGCTGCTGATGGTGTGCTGAACAGGTTCCTTTTGCTGCTCCATAATTGCTCAATGTGTCATTTTTTAATAAAAGTATTTTTGGCTTTGAGTGCCAGGGATGGGGTGCAGTCTGGAGGGTGAAAATGGCCCCCAAGACCTCATATGTGGAAAACATCTGGCATAGCCCTCCACTGAGAGTGGTGAAGAGCACGGGGCTGGGACTCAGAGGATCTGGGCTCTAGTCCCCGCTCGGCCATGGAGCCAACTGGGTGACTTTGGGCAGTCACAGACTCTCAGCCCAACCTACCTCACAGGGTTGCTGTTGTGGGGATAAGATAGAGGAGGAGAATGATGTAAGCTGCCTTGAGCCCTTTGTAGGAAAAAGGCAGGATATAAATTGAAAAATAAATAAAAAATAGCCTGAAGCCTAGGAACCTACCTAACCTTTCCTCTCAATGAAACCCACGGGGCTTCGGAACAGAAAGGCTCTCCCCATGTTACCATCCCGTTTCCCACCGCCCCCAAAGCAGAGTGCCCCGTCACCTGGAGGTGCTCTTCAATGTCCTTCCTGTCATAGGTAATGCCACTTGGCGTAATGCAGGGTTCTCGCATCAGTTCAAAGCTGATCTTCCCACACAGATAATCGGGGATGTCCCGCTTCTAGCTCAAAGGAGAGAGCAGATTGCAGTGACCCAGGTCCGCGGACGAGCCACTGAAGCAGACTTCAACTCCCATCAAACCCAGCCAGCACAGCCAAGGAAATCCAGAGCCAAGCGAGGTTAGAGACACCCATCGGAAAAGGCCTGGGCACCGAATGAGGCTTCAGTCTGTCACCAAGGGGGCACCCATGTCAGTGCCAGGCACGCTTCCCTGGTGATCGGTGAAGGGGCCGCCCCTGGTGAGACAAAGCAAAAGAATCCCCCCCCCCCCGAAGAGGCCCTCACCCCAGGGCACCTCCTTGCCCTTGAAAGCTGGGTCCAAAAGCTGCAAGCAGAGCTGGGGCAGGGGCAGGTGGGGCAAACTGTCCTTGGGATGCCTCCTCCCCAAGCTGCACAGGGCTTCAGGGGTCAAGCCAGCACCTGGCCTGGGTGTGCAAGGGTTACAGCTGCTCAGGAAAGCCCTCACCTTCCGCTTCTCATCCACCTGGGAGAACAGCTCATCCATGTCCGCCAGGTACTTCTCCTGAAAGGGAAACAGAGCACTTGGCATATGCTCCATAATTTGCCACTCTGGAAAGCAAGCCCATTCTCACCTGACCTAGTTACTGCTCATGGCCTAATTTACAGGTCTATGACAGGTTGACAAATTTTCTCCTTCAGCATTTTGGGCAACCGAATAGCCTGGTGGCCACCTCTCGCTACAGAAGGAAGTACCATAGGCTGTGTTCAGACAGCGTGGTAACTAAGGGGTGTAGATTATTGCTGTGCCTTGGGTAATCATGTTGTCTAAACCCAACCAATCTAGCAAACCATAGTTTGTTGCTGAGAACTGCGGATTGTTCACCATGGTTTGTTATTTTGGCTGAGTGCAAACAGCGTAACAGCCAATGTTTCAACAACCCACGCTCAGCCCTTGAGGGTGAATTCCCATCTTGCCTGCGCCCAGCCACCGTGCTCCTCTGCTCTGCTCGCACTCTCCCTCACAAATGCTAATCCGGGCTGCTCAGAAAACACGGAAGGATATGCTAAGTCAGGGGGCAGAGGCTGCGATTCCCACCCTCCTTGGACTAATAGTTACAGAACTGCAGCCTTCACACCTGAAGGGACCGAGCCTGCACAAGGCTGCCTTAACAGCTTAATAGAGGGAAGCCAGCCTGCAAGCCTGCAGTGCCCACAGCCAAGCCAGATCCCTTCTCTCCCCCCGCCACCCCACACACACACACACACACACACACACACACACACACACACACACACACGGGGAGAGGGAGGGAGAGACTTTGTGCTGCAGGCACTGACCAGCAGCGACTCTCTGGGGTTTCGGGCAGGACCTCTCTGGCCCTACCCTGACATGTCCTGCAGGGGGCAGGCCCAGGCGCATCTGGCTGCCCCCCCCGTGGAACACCAGGTTGACCACAATGCCTGTTTGTCTCAGCCAGGAGGGGAGGTGACAACACCTGGAACGGTTTTGCCTAGAAAAAGGGCGACGGGAGGGATGGCAGACTGCTCAGAGTTACGGGTGCAGCGGAGACCATTCCTGCCCCCACACCACATAATGTTGGAACCCAGCGGGATCCTTCCACGAAGCTGTCTGGTGGGACCTCCTCCAGCCGCATAGGGCCACCGTGCCTATGTACCCCAGCGGCCGGGGCACATGGGCAGGAAGGCACTGCTGCGCTCGTGCCCTGCTTGCGGGCTTCCCACTGGCTGCTGGGCAGCCACTGCATGCGCAAAAGGCTGGACTGCAGCTGGGGGGCAGCACCAGCTCTGCATGCACAAGGTCCCGGGTTCAAGCCCAGGTGCTCCAGCGGAAGGAAGGCAGTCAGTGCGCGGAGTCAGAAGGGACACGTGGAGTCGGACGGGCACACGCCTTGCGAGGCTGCTCCCCACGTGGCTGAACGACCGGCTTCCGGCTGCAGCAGCGGCAGCTACTGACTTTGGCACAGGCAGGTGCAACGCCCCCCCGCACCAAGAGCCCCTCTTTCCCAGGCACCTCCAGGCAGCTGGGGGAGGACAGAGGAAGGCGTCCGATTCCCCTACCGCTGACATGAAAATCTAAACAAAGCTGCCCGCCCCCCCCAACACACACACACAAACAAGGCCTCACGGAGGTGGGTCCCTCTGGAACAAGAGTGTTGTGCGACCCTCACAAAAGGACCGCTCCGGGACGGGGGGGCAGACCTGCCCGCCCAAGGAACCTGCAGGGCTGTGGAGGCACCACGCTGCAAGACCTCCGCCCTGCGTCAAAGGGCCAGGGCTGAGCGAGGACTCCCAGGGGCCCTCACGTGTTTGGCTTCGACGTTGGCCAGCTGCACCCGGCTCCGGCTCTCATCCACGTTCTCCTCCTCCTGGGCACGTCGGCATTCATCCAACTCCCTGCAGGGGAAGAGACAGAAAAAGTGGCCGTTGGGGTACCATGATCAAGGAGGACCAAAACCCCTTGGAGAGCAGCCAATGCAGTTTTCCCAGGATGCCGTGGGATGGGGGAGACAATAACAGGGAAAGGCGTGCGGAAGAACGCTGGTCCCGAGACTCAAGCTCCAAACACCATCTCTGCTCAGCTCTGAACACTATGACCCCTCAAGCACTGCTTAGGAGCCACAAGATTGCTTCCTAAATTATTATTATCCTTATTAGTATCATTATACTGCCAGTAATTATTGGCACATATATCCTGCCTCTTGAGAATAACCCAGCGTGGTTAACTCAGCCCTCCTCCACTCCACTTTAATCCCCCCAGGAACCCTGCAAGGGAGGCCAGGACAAGCAGCAGCGACTGGCCCAAAATCTCCCATGGAGCGCCAATGGCTGAGCAGGGACCAGAGTCTGCCCCTCCCAGGCCCCCGTCCAACACTCCCCCCCCCCCCACCACCACATGGGCTCTCTAATTTAACTAACTGGCCTCAAAGAGCTCAGCATGTGGGAAAGGCATTCCCAGCCTGGGCCAGTTCAGACTGTGGTGAGGTGGGGAGGGGGAGAAACGACACACAACGATTCCCAAAGGTTTCCTTTGCAAAGAAAATGCAATGCTGGAGACAGGCCAGGGCAGCATCATGCTAGTTCTCCAGGGGCAAGACACAAGCACAACCCTGCTGGATCCAGCCAGAGTCCATCTGGTCCAGCTTTCTGATTCCACAGAGGCTACTCATTTGCCCAGAGGACGCTCACAAGCAGGACAGGAGTGAAACTGCACCCTCCTGCCCATGTTCCCCAGCAACTGGCATACATAGGCGAACTGCCCCCATTACTAGAGGGTGTAAAAAACCATCGGGACTAGCGGCCACGCATAAACTTCTCTTTGCCCAATCCTCTTTCAAAGCCATACCCACAGGTGGCCAACACTTCTTCTTGTAGCAGCAACTTCCAGAGTTTAACTATACGCTTTGTGAAAGGGGTCTGTCCTGAATTCCCAGCATTCCACTTCAGTTGGTGCCCCCAGTGGATTCTAGGATGGGGGGGACGTCTTCTCCACCATTTTCTGCACACATCTCCTGGGTTTTGAAGCTTCTACACAAAAGTGCTGGTCCCAAGCAACACAATTTAAACCATGTGTAGTTTATCTGGTTTTCAGAAAGGGGAGCACTTCCAGAAAGGGGATCCTCGCGCTACCAATAAAAACTTCAGTTAATTCCATTCAACCCTCCTTAACAGTTCCCTTCCCTTCTTTTTTTGGTGGAACAAAACAAAGACGGAAATGGAAAAACATGACTGTTACCAAATATACCCCTCCTAATCACCAAGGACCCTCTCAAAATCCCATAAATGAGGCAGGGCAACCACGTGACAAAAGCTTCGCCCGGAGGCGACCAGGGGCCCCCTCAGCACCCCCTCGATCTCCAAGACTGAGCCAGGAAGGCCCCCTGGGCACCTTCCATCAGCAGAAGCTGCTGCTTAGTGTGATGCAACAGGATGAAATACTCTAATGGGAGAGAGGGAGTTAAACGCAGGTAGCACCAAAGAGCAGGTGAGGCCAAAGTCCCTGACTGAAATCTCGGCTCGGCTGCAGACACACTGAAGCAGGGCGGGCCCCTCCAGCTCCAGGGCCACAAAAAGCCCTCCACCTTCGAGTGCCTGATCCTACCTAATCCAGGAAGCTGAGCAGGGCTGGGCTTGACCGAAATCTGGGCGGATCACTTAATGTTGCAAACCGCCCAGGGAGCTTTGGCTGTGGGTGGCAGAGAAATGCGATGGCCAACCAGCACCACCACCTAATCCCCGGAGTCCCGGGCACGCTGACTGGCTCCGACGTCTAGCAGGAGCAGTCCTCTCTTTCCCCAACAGTTTGCTGGGTGGATGGGCTACGGCAGGGAGAGAGAAATAAAGGGGGGCAGGAAGCGGGAGCGAGTGTGCGGCCCCTGACCTCACACCTGCAAAGGAATGAATCCCTGCGAGGAAGCAAGTTTCCTGCCTCTGACACGCTGGCGGACGGCAACCACCAGCCCCTTCCCCAGCGGCAGTCTGTGAACAACCGCACTGCCTCCCTTGCAAGGGCTGCCGAACCGCCGAGGGGCCCTTTCCCCCGTGGCCCCACCTGCGCAACGTGCTGTCACCGAGGGGTCACTGGGCCCCGCCGCGGCAGGCCTGCAGGAAGCCCCGAAGGCGCTTTGTTCACAACGGCCTCCCCCCGAGTAGGTGTTGCAGGTCTGTTCTGTGTTGTAGCTGCAACTGTGGTGTATGTTTTTACTTGCTTTCTGCTGGTGCTTGTTTGTTTTTCAGTTTTGGTTTTTATGAATGCTCGCTGTTTTATTACTCCATCAGGTTTTTTAAAATTAAGATAATGTACTTTCTTACTGCAAAATGACTTGGGAGAGCCCCTCCCCTGAAAGGCAGCTTAGAAATACTTTAAATAAAGTAAATACTTCAGATAAAGTATTTTTAATGGTGTGTGGAATGCTCTTGTCACTTGAGCTGCAACTGGGGCCAGCACCCATCACCTTCCGTAGCCCCTCGCTCTCCGTCGTACCTTTCTTTCTCTGCCATGATCAGTTTGGTGAGATAGGAATGCAGCTCATTCTCCTGGTTGATCCGTTTCTCCTCAATGTTGTTCCAGCGCTTCTTCTTGGCAATCCGCAGAGCACTTGGAATGTCATCCCCAAAGTTCAGGCGCTGCTCTTTGGCTAAGTTGTAGGCTAGTGGGCGGAAAGAAACCAAGAGAGCAAAGCAGCTAGAGCAGGACTTCTAAGCCTGCGCCACATAAAAGGCTCCAGATTGAGCCACGAGTCAAGCTTGGAGGCCTGGCTCAGACACGAGGCCCCTCCGCATCCACTTCACTCTCTTGTTAGTATGCTCGGCCGAGAACCAGCTCAGCTTAAAAAGCACCCTGGCTGTTAAGCATCTGCTGGCAGCATTCCAGAAAGCAGCAGGAACCGAGCAATGAGAAAGGTGCCCACGCCACATCTGGGGAGCAGTTGCCAACTGCAGATCTTAGGGACTGATAGGATGCTGAAGTCAAGGAAACAGATGCAGTAGCCATGAAAGACAGGGATACAAGCACAGACGTTACTTTTAAGGGTGAAATGTCAGGTAGGCACAGGGGATACTAGGGGATACCTGGAGAAGGTCTCGGGGGCCGAATGCCCATGGCAGGCAGGGACAAAGGCAGAAATGAGCAGTGTCGAAAAGCCCACAGATGCATCCTGAAAAGCCCATTGTCACTCAGTTTCGGGCCCAAAGGCCACAGCAGCAATATGGATGCTCCGCAGCAGCAGTGCAGCACAGCAGACAGACTTAAAAAAATTCCTCACACCACAGCCCCCCGCCCCCAGCAAACAGTGATTTAATCATTATGAAACCTCCTTCAAATGAACTCTGGAGAACAAAGGAAGGTTCATTGTACCTGGGAGCAAACAGGGGCAAGGAAAGCCCAGTGAAACTGAAGGAATGATCAGATGTGCTGCGGGGGTGGGGGGCTCTTCAAAGGCAGCCTTTCCCAGTCCTGAGTTCAGGGATCCCCAGCTCAGAGCAGCGCAGTGACAGACCTGGGAGCCCGTTCCTGGGAGGACTTCTGCAGCAGGAAGATCCGCCCTCCCGCTGCTCTGAGAGGGGATCCCAGGGAGAGGTGGGCTTCAGTGGGAAGGGGGCAGTGCACGCAAATGAGTGCTGGCAGGCCCAGAGGGAACTTCCTGGGGGCCACACGCGGTCTGCTGGTCAGATGTTCCCACCCGGGCACCATCACTTCGCGTCGCATCTGAACGAACAGGCTGAGCTTTGCTGCGGTTCAGCAGCCATCCTCAGGCACCACGCGCCTGCCTGCCTTGACGCACAGGTGCAGTCCAGCCCCGCTCCCATCTGCAACCTCGCCAGCCCTAATGGACGCCTGCGCCCGGCTCACCTCTCTGTAGGTTAGCAATGGCCTCGTCGTAGTTCTCCATCTCCATCTGGCATTGCCCCAGGAAGAAGTGCGCCTTTACAGACTGGCTGTCCAGCTCCAGGGCGTGCTTACAATCAGCCAGGGCCTTGTCATGCTGCTGCATCTTAAGGTAACATAAGGCGCGGTTGGTGTAGTAAACCGCCACTAAGGGATTCCGGTTCTGAAAGAAAAACAGCCGCACAAGAGGCCTGGAGGGAGTCCAGAGCAGCCCACAAGGTGGGCCAGAGGTGGTTCCAGTATATCTATGGGGTGATCCGAAGTAGATCCACAAGGATCTCTGACCTGCGATTGTTTGACGATGGCAACATTTGGAAAAAAAATCTTAAACACATTTTAAAACAAGTTTTTAATGTTTTATTTTTAAACCATTATTTGTTTAAGGTGTTCCTAATTCGTTCCACACTTCTAAAGGTGCCTTGGGGGCCCTATTTGGGCAAAAGAGTGACTCATAACTCATTAATAAATAGAATTAAAGCAACAAAAGGACCTCCCCCTCCATCCATTTTTTTGTCTGCTGAAATTTGGAAAGTAGGGGGCAGGCAGAGAACCAGGAAGGGACTTGTGTGTTAACACAGTGGCTGGATTCAGGCAACATAACCCACTCTCAATCCACGGACTGAGTACGGGTTAAGCGTGGGTTGTTGCTGTATGGTCAATTGTTGAGGAAACAGAGGTTACTGTGTTGTCTGAATGCAGCCAAGATAACAGAGCATGGTGAATAAACTACACGTCACAAACCATGGGTTCTTGTCTGGATCCTTTGTGGTTTAAAAACCATAGCTTGTTAGTGCAGCTGGATTCAGATAACACAATAATCCATGTTTATTTATTTCTTTAATATTCGATTAGATTTATATCCAACTCTTTTTCTTACAAGCTCATAGCAGCTTACACCATTCTCTTCCTCCTGCTCTCAATCTTATCCCCACAACAGCAACCCTGTGAGGTAGGTTAGGCTAAGCATCTGTGACTGGCCCAAAATCACCCAGTGGCTTCACCAGTTTTCTTTCTTGTTTCAGACCCACATCCAACCCATAATCAGTCCTTGAGTGTAGGTTCTCGTGCTGTCCGAAGCTAGTCCCTGAGAGCTCCATTCAGTCCTGGTGCTCAAAACCAATCCCTGTTCTCAAAATCTGTTAATTCCAAGAAGTAGTTTCCATCTGTTGTTCATCTGTTGCAGCCAAAAACAAACAAAAACAAAATTCCACAAACCAGGTTTGGGCACCTCAAAGACCAGCAACCTAAGCTCATGCCACCATAAATTGGTTTGTCTTGAAAATTCCCCAAGTTTTGCTAATTCCCAAATGCATTTCTTTTGCGCCACATTCTGGTTTGGTGGATTTTAGGCTTCCTATTGAAAGCCAACAGCGATCTCACAAGCTGGAGGTCTGGCCTAGGCCGATTCGCTTCAGGGTAAGATTGGCCCGCTTAGTCCAGTCGGTGCAATACTACATTCTCGGTTTACCAAGCAAAAGTACCTACTGGGAGCTGGGGAGTGAGGTGGGGTCTAACAATTAAGACCTGAAATTGACTTGCGACAGCAAAAGGCTGAAGGGTCCCACAGTGACCTTAAAAGCTAAGAAATTGACTGTAGCACAAACATCCACAAATCAATACAAAAAGAGACATGGCTGGATCAGGCCAAGGCTCCATCCAGTCCAACATGTGGATCGGTTCACAGTGGCCACAAAATGCCTCGGGGCAGCCAGCAGCAGCCCTCTCCTTTGAGCACATTCATGGCCTCCGCGCTGTTTGCTTCTGTCTTTTTGCACAGGTATCCTAGTAGAACAGAGCAGACCCTGCAAACAATTGATGTCTCCCCACCCCCCCACCCCGCTTCCTCTAGATAAATGCCAAGTCATAATTTGGCTGGAAGGTGCCAAGTCAAAGACCAGCTGCCTCCCTGGAATTTTCTAAAATTGCTTACCATTATTTAAAAAGAAAAAACCCTGCAGTGCTTAGCATGCGGAATCCCTGGGGGCTGGGTTTCCTGCAGAGCAGGTCCACAGTGGCCAGCATTAAGACTGACCAGACTGCCACTGAGCTGCACTAGCTGAGCTAAGCAAAAGATGTGCTTAAAGGATCGGTCGCGGGCAGACAGGATGACCAGGCAAGGGCGAAAGCAACCACAGGCAGGAAAAGAGGCAGAGAGCGGCCTTGTCTGTCTCTCTTACTGGACCAGCTTGGGGTTTAAAAATGAAGCCAGCTTCTGGATTGCATAGCACTCTTCATCAAACACCTTACAAGGTGCCCTTGGCATGGGTAGAGTGCATTTCTTACAACTCAATTACAATCAAGATTTTAAAAGACCAAAATTAAATGTAACATAGGGCCCTTAAGCCCTAGTGCCCTTGAATCTGAGTAATGGATTGTCTGTTGTGATTTATACAGTGCTATTGAAATATATGGCGATTTGCAGAGTAGCACAAGCAAAGAACTTGCAACCTACATTGCACCGAGCAGGACAATCTAAAAGATGTTGAGGGGCAGCACTAATAAGGGAAGGAGAGGCGACAGTGAGGGTATGCATACCCTACAAGAAAAGAGTAGGTTTTGAGAGACGTAAGGATGATCCAATTCTATGGTCCATATGGGGCTTCTACGCAGCTACAGTGGAAATTCCCTACGGAGTCAACCTGCAGAGAGAGGAGAGGGTGCCAACGGGGGACCATTCAGCATAAGGGCTTTCTGGGCTGTGCAGCTTGTCCACAGCCAGCAGGCACCACAGAAGAGGAAGGGGAGGCGGCGGCAGCGATGTGAGGGGAAATGCTACCTTTCACAACACAGGCAGCAGGATGAACCAGGAGACACTGCCTAACTCAGGAAAGGGGAGGGGAACAGCCCAGACAAGAAGAACCTATGAGCAGGTTGTGAAAAAGGAAACCTGAACTTTTACCAGGCAGAGGTAAGCCGAGAGGCCCAGCTATTGGAACTGTACGCAATTACAGATCGGGGAAAGCAGCAACTCCCAAAGAACTTTGGCTAATGGGAAAGTAGAAGAAGAATAAATCAGGAACTCAGAACTTCAGGTTCGAGGGTCAGATCCTGCTCTCCAAGGTTCTCCAATTGGCCATTCCCTTCCCACTTCCTCTGACCTAACCACAGATTGCCTGCTGGCTCCCCAGGTTTTGTGCAGTTGGTTTCCCCATCTCAAGAATGAAGTGCCACGTTGAAGTATCCGCTTTAAGCTGGGACACACTGGCATTTGGGGGGCATTTGGCCCTCCCCCTGCAACTCCCAGAAGCATGTCAAACATGGACTTCAGCTTTCAGGCTGAAAGAGGATCCACTATTGTCCTACTGGTTCTAAACTTAAAGGATTTAAAGAGCAACTATAACAAAATTGAAGTTTTTCAATTTGCCAGAGCTTTTTCTCCTCCCTTCCAATCCCTTTTCTTTCTGTGTTGCCTCTTTTAGATGTTAACCCAGTTCTGTGGGCGGGCAGCACCAGAACCGTATGTATGCATTTAAAAGTAAAGACAGATCTTAGGGCTGAAAACATTAAAGATCTTTGGAGCAGATCTCCAGGAGTCTTTCTCAGTCTTCAAGGAAAACCAGCACCCCACCCGCTGAAGAAAATATCTGGAAAGCCACTGTGGCCTAGAACCACTTTGGACTCACACAAAAAGACAGCAGAGGCTCTTCTGAAAGCTGGGCTGAAACTTCTTTCTGCAGGAGGGCCGGAGGGGCCTTTGCCGGGACTATCAGAGCACAAAGGGGAGGGCCGGTCAAGCTGGTGCGGCACCCCCATCCTTGTCAGCCCATTTCTCGCCAGCCACATAATTCTGGGCCTTCTGCTCCCATCCCATTTGCACAGCTGGTGCAGGTACTCAGGAAGGAGACCATTATCTACCGGGGGAAGCACCGAGGTCATGCTGTCTGAATGGGCAAAGTGCCCCCACCCTTGCGACAGCCCTTTGATGTGGGCAAGCTACAACCCCACACTGCAGAGAGAGGCTTGCAGCGCAGGAGCCAGGGACAGGCCGAAGTGCCACCAAGCACGGCCAGGGGGCAAGGGGACAATGGCACTGGGGGCTCTGTCGCAAGAGGCCCCCTACCCACCTTCCTAACTCAGCTCCCTCCAGCTGTGCTGGACTACAGCCCCCATTGCCCAGCCACCCCCAGCCTCAGCAGCTGAACAGGACTGGAATCAAACCCCACTCCACAGCCTGTTTCTCGCCAAAACCATCTTTGGCGCTTGTTCCCCAGAAACAATTTTCAGAAGTATTTTGCCTCAGAAAACGAACCCACCCCGAGCCCCCCAGCCCAGCTCGCATCACTGGTCGATGCCACCAGCTCGCATTTCCTCTGCCCAGAAGATGCTCAGACCATACAGCCGAGGGCTGGGTCCTTTGCACCCGTTCTTGGCCTGCTGGCAGGCAGCTTGGAATGCCTCTTCCTCCCGCTTTTGGGACCAGGCTGAGATTGGCTGTGATGCGTGCTCTTTGCCTGTGGCTCTAGGTAATTTGAAGGCACGTCACTGGCCCCGACACGGCTGAGTCACATCCTAACTTGCAGGGGCAGCGCAGGCATGTCTTGCACCACGGGGCAACGCAAGTTAAGTGTCAGGTGGGTAGTGCTGGGGATTAGAAGACCCGAGGCCTCTTGAAGTGAGGCTGCTTCAAATGCGATGTCTTCTTTCACTAGCAATGCGCGCAGAAGCATGGGGCAGATGGAGCTTGATGTGGGCCAGGAGTCAGACCTCTGCATGGGCATCACTCACTCTCTCACTCAGCCTAACCAGACAATGAGTGAGGCGTGGTGGTTCGAGGGCTGGGCCAGGACTTGGAGATCGAGGTTCTAGCTGCCAACTATGGGCCAGTCAAGTGGGCGTGAGGATGAATCGCAGAGGAAAAGGAGGATTCTGCAAGCCGCCCGGGGTTCCTTGCAGGAAAAAAATATCATAAATAGCCTAGCTTGCAGGATTGTTGGCAAGATAAAGGGAAAGGCTCCTAACTCAGTGCCGGAAAACCCCAGGTTCAGTCCCCAGCATCTCAAGGGAGGGCAGGAAAACCTAAGCCAGAAATCCTGCAGAGCTGCTGCAGAAGGCGGCTTCCGGTGCTCCTCCACTGGGCCAAGTCCAGGGCTCAGTGGCAGGAAGGGGCTGCGGAATTCCTGCCCTGCCCTGCCCTGCCCTGCCCTGCCCATGGGCCCCACGGCAGCTGGCTGGCCACTGTGGGAGCAGAGGACTGGACTAGAAGGGCCCTTGGTCTGATACAGCAGGGCTTTTCTCACTTCCACATGAATCGTGTACATTATGCACTTGCACGTGTGTGACATGCAATCAAACAAGCCTTATATTTGTCAGGGCCGTTCCAAGCAGCGGCTTGTGCAACAGGGACCCCCCGGCTGCTGTTTTCACACTGCAGGACCCCGGGCTTCGTCCATCACCCAGCCCAGGCAACTGCCATCATTCCTGCCTACGCAGTTCTTGCCCTGGGCTCCCATCTTAAAACTGCAAAGCCCCACAACTCACCCCAGAAATCCATCCCATAAGCAGAGTCCACTTACCGCCACCCAGACACTTCTCTCCCCCACCTGCCCTGCTAGCTCTGGCTGTGAAGTGGCATGCACTCTGCCTATGTTCAGAGGCACTCTAATTCCCACTGGCCCTTCAGATGAGCCTTTGCCAACCCTAGTTTGCTTCCTAGGCTCACTTGGCACCATGCCCCCTCATGTCCCACCCTGCCCCCCAAGCCAAAGCCAAAGGTAGGGCTGGGAGCAGGGAGCAGGGAGAAGGCTGTGTCCTGATCCAAACGGTGCCCTATATAACTTCTGCCCACCCACCCCCACAAACAAGCAAAGTCAGACTTGCAACAAAACAGACCATGCCCAGAGGGCCACTCTTTTCTTACTGCCCGTTCTTACTCTTCTTGGATAAACCCAGCGGTGGAAAACAGCTGTGTGAGAGAGCTGAACCCCTCTCCTTTCACCTGCTATCCCTCTGCCTTATCCTCCTTTCTCTCAAGCAGACATGCGCTTTGTCTCTGCTCAGAAGGACGACTTTCCTCTGCCACTGTCCCCTTCTCAGCTTCTCAATGGCACACACTCTGGCTATGCTCAGAGGGCCACCCTTTCTTCTTTTGCTGCCCTTTCAACTATTCTCAGGATGACCCCAAGCAGAGGGGCAGTTAGCTTGCTGCTCCCAACTCCCAGTATTGCTGTTGTTGCTATTATCTATGCTATCCAATAGTGGAAGCTTTCTGGGCAGCAAGCAACCATTGATAAAATACAATTAAAATACAGCACAGCATTTCTTTACAGATTTAAAAACCGAATCTTGGTAACATAAACAGTTACGGCAAGCTCACACACATTCTCTAGGGATTAGGCTTTCAGGCACAGCCATGCCCAAGAGAGGAAGCACTTCCTCCCTGACCTCCCAACTCAACACAGGCATGCACTCTGCACATGCTCAAAGGCTCTCTCTCCTTCCTCAGAGTCCTCCCTGCCTGTTCTCTCAGGGTCAGATTTGGTCCCAAGGCGCACTGCACTTTCCCTATGCCCAGAAGCATTCTTTTCCCTCCGTAGATTCTTTTGGGATCATCCCAGAGGCTGAGTTGGCTCAATCCAGGCTAGCTATCACCTCCTCCACCCCCAGATCATCTCCCAATGCAAGGGCAGTCTCTCAGTTCAGCGCGACACTCTGTCCGTGCTCAGAGGCACTGTCCTCCAGGGGCCCCTCCCATATTCCCGAATTCGAGTTTGAAGGCTGAGCCTTGGCCCAAGCAAGGAGCCCTCCGAGGGATGCGCTCTCCCCCGCTCAGAGTGCGCTCGGCGAGCAGCTCCGGGGCTTGCCGGGCCCAGCCCGGCTTCCCCAGCCCTGCCTCGCCCCGGGCGCGGGGCCGCACTCCCTGCGGAGCGCGGCACTCTGCCCGTGCTCGGGGGCGCCCCCGTCCCTCCCGCGGAGCCCACCCGCTCCCCTCGGGGCGCAGGGCCGGGCCGAGCCCCGCGCCCCCGCGCCGCGGCCCCGGGACTCACGATGGCGCGCCCGTAGCAGGCGGCGGCCTCCGGGTACTTGCGGCCGACGAAGAGCCGGTTGCCCTGCTCCTTGTACTCCTGCGCACTGCGGCTCTTCTCGGGGCTGCCGCCGCCCGCCGGGCCGCCGCCGCCGCCGGCCAGCCCGCCGCCCAGGCCGCCGC